TAGGGCGTGTGTGTGTGTGTGTGTGTGTGTGTGTGTGTAGAAATGTATTATAGGGAATTGGCTCACATGATTATGATGGCTGGTAAGTTCCAAGATCTGCTAAGTGAGTTGGCAAGCCGGGGACCCAGGGGAGCTGATGGCATGGTTCTAGTCTGAAGGCTGGCACAGGAGACGCAGGATTCACGTCCAGAGGTAGGAAAAGGCAGATGTCCATCTCAAGCAGTTTAATTAAAGATCTGGAACCCCTGGCCCAGTTAAGTTGATACATAAAGTGAATCATCCAAGTTGAGTTGAAAGAAAATGAATAGCGGTTAGCCAGGTGAGGAAGGGCATTGAGTGGGGAGGGAACAGCACCTGCCGAGGCCTGGTGTTAAAGGTATCACTGCATATTTGGGGAACAGTGAGTCCAGATGGTGCTACAGCGTGCAGGAAGGCCTAGGGTACCAGACCAGGAATAGGACAAGCCACAGGCTCGCACAGGAGAGCAGGGTTGGGGTTGGCCGAGCTGGGTTTGGGCTGCAACGGGGCGCTGAAGCAGAGCTGCTGGCTGAGCTGGGAGGACGGGAAGGAGGGCTGAGCCACCAGCCAAGCTCCAGGACCATCAGCAGCATCTGCGGCTTTGAAGACGTGGGAGGGGAAGAGAGTGGGGAAGAGGGGCCGGAGGAAGAAGAGAGGAGGGGCTATGTTAGATCTGCGGCAGCAACTCTCAGTGGTCCGAACTCCAGGAGGTCCTCGCGCGACCTGACCAGTTAATGCCTGCTCCTTCCCAGCAGGGGCAGGTAGGAGGTCCTTGAGAACAGAAGGCAACTCTTCCCAGACGGGCAGTACCTGCTGTTTCTTGTCTCCAGTTGCACAACCGAGTATCAGGAAAGAGCCAGAGTGGACTTCCCAGGCCTGGTCAGCTCTGAGGGAAAGCCCAGGCCAGACTGTGTTTGCTCTGTCCACAGTGAACTAAGCCCCAGCCATGGACAGTCACACCAACAGTGGCCAGTGGCCTGGGGCTAGGACAGTAAGGGAGGGGCAGGCAACTAGGAGAGAGGCTGGCAGGTGATTCCAGTCCCAGCTTCCTGATGGGACATGGCCTTGGGTGGGTCATTCCCTATATCTGGGCCTCAGTTTCTCCCTTGGCAAAATGGAAATAACATGCCCTTCCCTGCTTGCCAGTCCCAGACAGGGTTATTGTTTCCCAGTAGTAGGAGAACTGTGTGAAACGGAATGATATGCAACTGTTTTTTTGACCTGTAAAGTCCACAGTGTCCTGTGGTTCAGCCCAGCGACCGCGCCATTCCAAATAACAGCAGCTCCCTGTCTTGCGCACGGACCGTGATCTAGGAGCCGAGTGGATGCAATCCGTTTTCAGCCCATGCATGACCCTCTGAGACACGTGTTCTTACCTTGGCTCTTCCAACAAGGGAGCTGAAGTCCAAAGAGGTTATGTAAAGTGCCCAAAACCACAAAACAGGATTTGAACTTAAGCGAATCTTCCTTTTGGGTGTTTCCTCAGCCAAACACAAAGTTCCTAATTAGGACAGTTTGCTGTCCTGGCTGCTCAAGTGGAAGGGTGCAGATTCGTCAGCAGACTCAGAGCCCAGCCATGGCCTTGACAATGAGGTGTGGCTAAAGTGGCTTTCCCAGCAAACGGATCCTTTCAGACGGGTGCATTTCCCTGTTTATCTAACCTCACCTCTTCCCCATGCCCCCTCGCCTCCTCAGGTCACCTTGCCCCACCGTTTCCTCATCTGTCTCGGGGAGGGGGGAGGAGGCTATTTTCTAATTCCTGCTGCAGACATAGTTTTGCAGTCTGATCGCCTTAGAAGTGGGATCTAGCTTGCAATCACTGAAGTCGTTATGGAATGCAGGAATCTGTCTTCCTTTCGTCCCCACCCCAGCAGTCCTGAGACTGACTGCCATTGGGATTACAAATAGGCGGACCCTTAAAAGCACATTTGTTTCACTTAACAAGCATTTGACAAATGTGGACTGATTTGATCCTCCTAACCATCCAGTAAGGTGAGTACTGTTATTATCCCCATTTTACAGGTAGGAAAATGGAGGCACAGAGAAGAAATTTGCCCAAGGTCACACAGCTAGCAAGTGATATAGCCAACACCCTACACTGACTGCCAGGGCCGGATGAAGGGACAGGGTAGGGAGGGCTGCCCAGAACCTCCGTCCACAGAGGCACTAAAGCACCCTTGACATCGCAGAAGACAGAGATGTTGTATTGTGTCAGGGTGCTGGGTGCCCTTGAAGGAACTGTTTAGACAGCCTCTCGGGAGGAGAGTGAGGCCTCCAAGCGGCTGCCTGTGGACAGTGAGGGTGGCGAGGACCCTCACTCCTGAGGAGGGGCACCCCGGTTATCCACTGTAATGGGCAAGTTTTATTTCTCTACTCACAATACTCTGGCCACCAAACGTGCGGATTTTCTCCCACACCAAGTGATTCGACTCTCCAGGTATTAGCTGGGGGCCGTACGATTCAAACCAGTTCTGACACTGATTGAAGTTAGCATCACATCCCACAGGTAAGGGCTCAGTCCTGCCAGACTGTCTCCACTCAGAGGCCAGTCACAAGGCCAGGTGTTCACCTGTGCTTCCAACCCAGCCTGCCTTCAAGTTTGGCAACTTGCAAGAACAGCTCACAGAACTCAGGAAAAGTAATTTACTGACTAGATGACCAGTTCAGTATAAAAGAGTCTAACTCAGGAAGTCAGCTGGAGGAGATGCAGAGGACAAAGTCCGTGGAAGGGGCACAGCTGCCATGCCCTCTGGACAGGCCGCCTACCCAGCATCTCCCCATGTGCCCCTCCTGGAAGCTCTCCAATCCCTGTCATTGAAGATTTTCCTGAAAGCTTCCTTAAGTCAGCATGATTGACTAAACTATTGGGCATTCATTAGTGATCAAGTCAATCTCCAGCCCCAGGTCTCTCCCCAGAGGTCAGGGGTGGCTGAAAGTTCAATCTTCCGATCACTTGGTTGGTTCCCCTGGTAACCTGCTCCCATCTTGAGGGACCTAGGAGCCCCAAGACACTTGCCATCTCATTAGCGTACAAAAAGGCACTATCGCAGTGAAGATTCCCATGGTTTTAGAAGATGTGTGCCAGGAAACAGAGGTAGAGGCCGACTCTACACATTTCCTATTATTTCACACTAACTGGCTGGCGTTTTGCTTCAAGAGGCATGCAGGTTCTGGACAAAAGGAAGACCAAACCCTGCTCTTTATCTAGGATGACAGTCCCCTTCTTGGAGCAGGTCCTCTCTCTTAAATTCTTTTAGGCAGTTGTGGGGAAGGTTCAAGGTTCTTCCTGAGCCTCCTGGGCCTTGACTGTGTTCAGTTCAAAATAATCTGCTGAATGGCACATCTTGGGGCAGCCATTCTGAACCTCTACAGAATATGCAGCATGTGCTTGTTCATGTCCGGCTTCTCTTGCTCAGCATGCTTTTGAGATTCATTCATACTGTCACATGCATCAGTAGTTCGTTTCTTTTCATTGCTAAGTAATATTCCTTTGCATACAAATGCTACAATTTGTCTTTCGTTTTCCTGCTGACGGACATTGAATTGCTTCTAGTTTTTGGCTATTTTAAACAACACTAAAAGATTATACAAGACACATGCTTTTCTTCCTCTGGAATTGTGTGCTGATTTTAGAAAGCAATTTGGTCACTCCCTGACACATCATCGGAGGAGAAACCACAATGTAAAATGCTATTGACAATTATGTCTCAATAAAGCTGGAAAAAAAAAAAGAAAATGTGCCCTGGCCTGTTTGGCTCAGCGGTTAGTGTCAGCTCTCGGACCAATGAGTCACAGGTTCGATTCCAGTCAAGGGCACGTACCTCAGTTGCAGTTCGTTCCCAGCCCTGGTTGGGTCGTGCAGGAGGCAGCCAGTTGATGTGTCCCTTGATGTGTCCCTCTCATGTCGATGTTTCTCTCTCTCCCTCCCTCCATACCTCCCTCCTCCCACTCCATCTGAAGATAAATGGGAAAATGTTCTAAAGTGAGGATTAAAAAAAATAATAAAATAAAATACTATAGATATAAAGAGAAGACATGATTAAGTAAATTGTAATCTAGGAAGTGAATGGAGGTTTACATGTGCCTTAAAGTGACAATCACCAATGACACTGAAACATGGAAAAAACATTCAAAATGCATTAAGTGGATGCGAATACAAAGTTGTAAGCACACCATAACAATACTTTGTAAGAGTATTTATTTCTGTGGAGAGGGGTGTGGGCCCATCGAGTGGGAATGAACAGGCGGCGGAGTCAGCAGTGGCGCGGTGTTCCCGGAGCACCCGCGAGGCCGGCGCTCGCTGTCCCCGGACTGGGCACACTGCCCAACACAGAGGAAGCCCCTGTTTGAACAGCAGAGGGTAAAGACAACCCGGGAGTAATTTCCTGTTTCAGATGTCGGGAAACGGTTCAAGTGATACTTTTATTGCAAATAGACGTTCAGTGTCATGTCCCCTTTTGGGGGGAGTGTCCCTGACTCCAGGACTGGTCCGGGGCCTCTCTGGACTTTTGCTCTTTCACAGTTGTTACCACACTCAGTTGAAACTGAACCTGGGTTGGCCCTCCCCCAGCCCCTCCCCCACCCATCACCCTCCACCCCAGGCTGGCCTGGGTCCCTCTAAGTCCTGGCACCCAGAGCACAGGCACTGGATGAAGCCCTGAGCCCTTGCTTGGAGGCCCGTCTATTGAAATCTGCCAAGGTGAGCGATACATCTCCCGCCCATACCCACCTCGGCTTTGAACAGCCAGACCTTCGGGCCCTGGCCACAAGTTCAGGGACCCTAATCACACCTGGGCTTGGAGGCTTCACCTACAGCTGGCTTTTGAGAAAGGAGGGCGGGTTCTGTGTACGACATTTCCCAAGCGCTCACCGGATTGTGTCACAGCAGGTCCCCAGGGCCCCGCCCACCGCTCACTATAAATGTCACTGTGGCACCCTTCAACCACCAATACCCCTGACTCTAGGTGCACCTGGGTCTTAGCATGGCACTGCCCTGGGCCCTCGCGATCTTCAGCCTTCTTCCTCTGCTGGATGCCCGGAGCCCGGCGTGTACCGATGTCACAGTGCCTGTCACCAATGCCACCCTGAACCAGGTGGGTGCCTGGGCCCTGAGCACCATGCCTGCCTCTCCTGTCTGACCTCGCCTTTCCCCTGCTGGCTTGCGGTCAGGCCCCTCTCCGGACTCTGCCCTTTTTCTCCTGGGTGCTGGGGTGACAATCTGACCAGCCTCCGGCGGCATCCCTCCGCCCACCACTCAGAAGCCTCCTTGCCGAGGGACAATGCTGGCCCGGGCGAGGAGGGGCCGCCCGGTGGGGGTGATGGCTGGTGCTTACAGTAAGCTCCCGCGTGCCCACTGCTTACAGGGCCCCCAGCCTCCATCACCTGCTCCTGCTTTCTCCCCAGATCTCTGGCAAGTGGTTCTATATCGCCTCTGTTCACCGCTACCCTGAGTTCAAGGAGATGGCTAGCAAAATCGAAGCAGCCTTCTTTTACTTCGCCCTTAACTACACAGATGACACCCTGCTGCTCAGAGAGTATTTGACCAGGTGAGACCCTCACATGCCAGCTCAGCCCAGCCCTGGCTTCGAAGTCCTGCCTTCTCATCCACGGAATGGGGGCGGGGCGGACTCTAACGGTGGTCCCTCAGGGATGTGCCTGTGCCCTTGTCCTTGACCGTCTTACTGTTTCTCCCTCCCCCCACCCCCGCCACCTCCCCGCCTCCCCGTCTGGCGTTAGTGAAGGCGAGTGCATCTATAACGAAAGAAGCCTGTCGCTCAGCTGGGAAAATGGGACCCTGTCCAAACTCGGTGAGCCCCTAGGGGAGGCGGTGTGGAATGGGGGGACGGTGGGTGCGCCAGCCTGAAGGAGGGACCTGGGGGCACAGAGAACACGGGACAGGGCCACTTCTTCTATCTCCACGGGCCCAGTGCCTGTGCACTGAAATACTCTGTGATAACTGCCAACATTTCTGCGCTCTTACTGTGTGCCGGGCACTCTCTGAAGTGCTTCCCACGAGCCAACCCACATGATACTCATAAACCGCCCTGGAGGACACTGCAGGGTCAGAGGCGGAAATGGAGAAGCACATGTCAGCTTCTCTGGGGTCCGGGAACCAGGCTCAGCCCCAAGGCCGGCTCCGTCCTGCCTCTCTCACCACCCTGCACCCTCTGGGACCCGTTTCCTGGGCAGGCAGGGGCTTCACCCCGTCCCCACCGTCGTGGCAGAGAAGGCACATACCAGGAACATACAAACGCCTGTGGAATGAACCAAGACCACCTAGGAGCCCTGCGGCTTCTCTCTGAACCTTCTTTTTCTCAGCTGTAAATGGGGAGCAAGGCCCTGACGGCCACAGTTCACACGAGGCTCCTCGGGTTCCACAGCCGTAGTTCAGCGCAGGGCCTGGTGCACAGGAGGAGGGGCACCCCTGGCCCTCACTGATTGGCGGTGTGGCCCTGGGCGCACCCAGATCTCCTCACCTGTGAGGAGGGAACCACTGTGCCATCCCGATGGTCTCACCTGGAGGCTTTCTGTTCCAGAGAATGGCACAGAACATACTGCCGACCTGATGCTCCCCAAGGACCCCAAGATCTTCATGCTTGCTTTTCGACCAGGAGACAAGGAGAACAGGGGGCTGTCCTTCTACGGTAGGCAACCCCCAAGCCCCTACCTGGGCTTCCTCCAGGACCACCCACTCCTGGGGCTGGGCCCCCAGCCCTCCAGCCCTCCTGGCATCCTCATCAGTCCCCTTGCTCCGTCCTGCAGCTGACAAGCCCCAGGTGACCCCGGAGCAGATGGAACAGTTCTATGAAGACCTCGCATGCCTGGGCATGGACAAGTCAGAAGTCATGTACACCGAAGAGAAAAAGGTGAACGCAAGGACGAGCAGTGCCCACCCGAACCCGAGGCCCAGAGAGGGAAACCTGCAGCCAGGGCTGCACAGCAGGGGGAAGAGTCTGTTTTCAGCGCCCACCTGCCTGCAGGGACAGCTGAGGTCACGGGGGCGGGATGAGAGCCCAAGAGGGACATCCTGGGAAAGCGGGGAGGACCGGCCGAGCAGGGGGAGGACCGGCCGAGCAGGGGGAGGACCGGCCGAGCAGGGGGGAGGACTGGACAGGCTGAAGGAGGGGACAGCATAGCCAAAGCTGGTGGTGGGGACTCTGGAAAGAGACACAACTGTCACGCCCAGGCTCCTCATACGCCGCGGCGGGCGCAGGTACCGCGGTTCTCAGTGTCACCCAAATGCGCCATGTCCAGGACCCCCGCTTTCGCTGAGAATTACCTGAGTAGTAGTCTCAACACTTCCCTTTAAACCTGTGCGGAAGGCTTTACTGGGTCTCGTCCCAGGCAACCATATTTGAAGGCAGAGCTATGAGCTGGTTGCACCTTCTTAGATGTACATGACCTATGTTCATGGTTATTCAAATAAAAATGCTCCCATCTGCTTGCCGCCTGAGGACATCGCCTATGGCCACCAGTGGCACAGATTGTCCCCTCGCTCCTGGGAACCCCGGGAAAGGGCTTATGAACATAAGCACCGGAGCGGGTTCCCTGGCTTACCGCCTGCCACCCCATCTCCTGGCTGGGGGACCGCAGACAGGCCCCGTGGCCCCCATGAACCTCAGCTGCATCATCTGCAAAATGGTGGCGAGAAACCCAGATCAATGTGAGGGCTTAACAGGTCATACGTGCTCCATAAATTTCCATTGTTCCTAAGGGTTCGAGCCACCATTTTAGAGGTGAATGTGCTGAGGCCCAGAGAGGGAAATGACTGGCCCAAGGCCACCCAGCTTGACATGGCAGAGACCGGGATGGAGCCGTGGTTGGGCTGATGCCACCGTCCAGAGCGCATGCCACCCTTCCCCCAGGAGCCCCCGGCCCTGCCCCCGTCATTGTGCTTTCTTCTCCTGCTGTCTCGTAGGATCTGTGTGAGCCGCTGGAGAAACTGCACAACGAGGAAAGGAAGAAGGAAAGCGAGACACAGCATTAGAGCAGGACCTCGGGGACTTGGGGGGCCAATCCTGAGCGCCCCCGCCACATTTTGTACCTCCATTCTTTCCCTCAGTTGCATCAATAAAGCTTCTGCATTTGGAATAGACGGGTTATCTTTTGCTCATTCATCTATTTCCTCATTCGTGGTGAAGCCTGCCCTGAATCGAGCCCCGGTTGATAAGACCCTGCCCCTGATCGCCAAAGCCCCTGCCGTACCGCCCAGCACACAGGCCAGGATGGACTGCGTGGGGTGGTGCGGGAGCCCAGCCCAAGGAGATTCCTTCTGAAGTGGGGAAGTCTGGGAAGGCTTCCTGGAAGGGGCATCAGAAGCAGCATAGAAAGATTAGGAGCTTGATAACACCTGCTGTTCCGGCTACAAGTCAGAGATGAGAGGACACATTTCAGGAATATAAGGCAGAGGACCTAGAGCAGTCCAAGCAGGGAAGGGGCCCTGGGGACTCCGGCGTGTGGTGCCAGGCACGAAGGACCGTAGGCAGACATCACCCTGGCCCTCTGGGAGGCGAGGGGGAAGGGGTCAGCCTGGAGGCAGGTAGACTGGCTCCGAGGCTGCCGTGAGCATCTCAGCAAGAGGTGGGGTCCCGGGCCAGGGCAGAGGTGGGACGGGGGGACATCACTAGGCCAGAGGTGTGTCTCCACTGTGCTGACTTGTTTATAGCTCCATAATTGATGATTGGTAAAATCAGTGTGCCCACTAGCTGAACCTGTTTTGTAAGGAATTTAACAGGATAGAGATCAAAATAACCTTAGTAACTTGGAATACCCCCTGTCCAAGAAATGTCCAAGAAATGTCAGGTTCCCAGACACTGGACCAAGAAATGTCAGGTTCCCTGGTTAGCCAGGTTAGCCAACTGCCTACCTGTATTTTCACTTCTGCACATGCTTGCTATGCCCCAGTGCATACTGGTTTTAAGCTTTTAAAGGTGTGTGTGTAAGGCGGTCAGGGCTGATTTCCGAAGACTCTGTCTCAGGGCTGTTCAGAATCAGACGCCGGCCGGCTAATAAACGGCTCTTATTTAGACTTCAATTCTCTAGTGGTCTTTCTTTGACTGTCGCACCACAACACCAGGTAGTATCCTCAGGGTTCCCACCCAACACCAGGAGGAGGATACGACACCTAGGATTGAGGTTGGCCCCCAGAAACCAGCTATCTTGCAGCTGTGTTTGAGCCTAGAGAAGGGGCCATGACTGAGGCCCAGGAGTGGAAGAGACAACCCAGCCCCTGAAGCCAGTTCAGCAGGAAAAAGCAGCCTCCTCCCAGACCCGGCGGCTTCGTGATGTATGGTCATGTGCGGCAAGCGGCACCGCTCGGGTGGCAGAGAAGTTGGGGCTGAATTGTTCAGAAAGTTCCATGAGTGGCCCAAGCCTTCCTTCTTGGACAGCAAGACCATAACCCTGGCCCCTAGCGCCCAGTCCTGTGACTCACACGACATCAGCCTCCAAAGAGCCAGGTTCCAGGGACCCAAGACTCCGGTGCCCTTTGCTCAAAGCTGGAGTCACCACTGCGCCCAGAGGACTGAGGCGGGGGGCGCTGACCTGAGCTCCCACCCTGGGCTCCCCCTTCCCATCCCGATAACCACGGGACAGCCTCTTGGCACCAAGGGTGTGGACCCGCAGGCTCAGAACCTACGAGAAATCTCTCCATCTCAGTGTTACTGTCAATGCGATGACATTTTCAACTCTACCGAGAAGGAGCTGAAAATGAAATAAAAATGGGTCCTGGGGGTCGGGGAGAAGCGAAACGAGAGGGGAGGATCGGCGATGAAGCAGCCCCGGGAGGAGCTGGGGGGTGGGGGACATCATGGCTATTTAGGCAGAGAGAATCAGTAACAGAGAATATAAACTTTGGAGTCAGACCACCGAGAACTTGGGCAGGTAACCCACCGGGGCTCAGTCCCCTCGTCAGTACAGTGGGGACGGAGGCTGGTGTGCGCAGGGTGGGGCACGCCTTGCTCAGCACTTAGCTCAAGGACGTGTCCGGCAGGTGCTCAGTGCAGGGCAGCCCCCGCCGCTGTCTGCTGCCGGGAGGAGCACTGGAAAGAGAGTCCAGTCTCATGCTCTGCAGACAGCAATCTGCTGCGTCTCTGGCCTCAATGAAAAGGGATTTGGCCAGATGGCCTCTCGGGCAGGTCCCTGCGCTCGAGGGTTATGGTTCTGCCAGGTGGAGGGGAAAGTTGGAGAAACAGAAGCCACTGGGAGGAGGCAGGGTGAGCCTGGAAACGTGCACCCGCCAGGTCCCCGGGCGGGGGCTCTGCGTCCACCTGCCACCCCACCAAACTGCTTTCAGAAACTACAAGTCAATGACACACCACAGACACGGCAACTTTGGGAATGCTTTTAGGTTGTTGTTGGTTTTTTTTTTTTTTTTGGCTTTTCTTTTTTTCTGTAAGATCAATATTCATTCTTCATTTGTCCTCATAACGAAAATAGACTTTTTAAATGCCTCAAATATACAAATATCACGACGCACACACATTCCAGAAAAGCTGAGGTACGCGCTGCTGCAGGGCGGGGGACCGGAGCCAGCCTGGCCGCGGGGCGACGGCCATTCCACAGGGGTCTCCGGACAGCGGGGTTCTCGAGATGAGGTACTGAGAGGGGCCACGGTGGACCACGCCCTGGGGTGTCTCCATTCTAGCAGGCCCCGGGGACAGGCTGCTCCAACCACGGAGAAGCCAGGCGTGTGTCAGCCTGGGGCTGGCGTCCTAAGATATCCCAATGGTCCCAAAGTGTCCCACCTCAGCCAGCAGAGGAAAGACCCCCAGCCATGTCTTTCCAGAGATGTCTACTCCCAAGTGGCTGGCACAGGCAGGTGGGCGGGTCTGCGCCGAGCCCGGGCCCCATCCCTTCTCGGGCTTCCTAAGGAGGATCCGAGCCCAGGAAAACTCCTGTTGAAAAACTATCCGTCCATCAGTATATAAAATACATATTATTAGCCGGAGGTGGACAGGTGCAGGAGACTCCCAGAGACTGCATCTGGACAGCAGGTGGCCTTGGTCCCAGCACCTCCTTCAGGAGCTGGTGCCCTGGGCAGTGACTTCTCTTGATGACCAGGGCCCCTCCATTTTGCAAACACTGAGACTGAGCAGGCAGGGCCTGTGCTGGAGAACTGATGAGGGGCCTCCGGGGCCTCCGGGGAGACAGGCAGGCTGCCCGCCACCTGCCTCTGAGCCCCCAGTGCCATCAGAAGAGGCAGGAGCCCCGCAGGCTGTGGGCCTGGCGCAGGTCAGCCGACAGGGAGCGGCTCATGTGCTTGGTGGTGGAGCGGACGCTCTCGGCCGCCTGGACGGCTCGGCTCAGGGCTTTGTTGAGCTCCTCCAGGTCCTCCAGGTCCAGCTGGATGGAATGCCGGTGTCCTCTAGCTGGCCGAGAGGGGGCTTCCGGGGGCCACTCAGCAGCTGCTCGGGCTGAGGGGGCTGAGGTAGGTCCTCCTGGAGGCGTATAGAACCTGAGAGGAAAGCGCATCGTTAACCACCGAGGGGGCTGGGTGCAGCCCCAGAGCCTGGGTTTGTAACCACCCCACTCTGAGCCCCCACTGGCCACTGGGCCCTACTCTCTGGCTCTGTTTCCTCGTCTCTAAAATGACAACAATAAACACTTACTTCAAGGGATGTGTTGCAAGGATAAAGGAAGCACAGTGCCTGACCCGGAACAGGTGCTCAGAAATGGTTGGTTCAATCCACCCATTCACTGCACAGATATTCAGCGACCACATGCTGTGTGCCAGCCAGTGTGCTAGGCCCTGGGGTTGCAATGGAGCGTGAACACAGACCCTGCCGCCTTCTTGAGCTTCTCATTCGAAAGCCAGATCTGGGGGAGACCGGGATCACCCAAAGCTCTGCAGCAAACCCCCTTCTTCGGACAGGGAATATAGGGGTGTCCCCTTGCCGGTGTGGAGCACTGGAGAATGTGCTCCTAATAATTAGGTTCTGCAGGAGTGGGAAGGTCTGGTTTTACTCATCAGGCAGCAGGTAGAAAGGGGTTCTTCCCAGCCTGGTGCTGCAGGGACACAGGGTGTTGTTTTAAAGTGCTGGGGAAGCCTGGCCGGTGTGGCTCAGTGGTTGAGCGTCGACCCAAGTACCAAGAGGTTACCGGTTCCATTCCCGGTCAGGGCACATGCCCAGGTCGTGGGCCAAATCCCTAGTGGGGGGCATGCAGGAGGTGGCCTATCGATGTTCTCTCTCATTGATGTTTCTCTCTCTCTCCTTCTCCCTTCCTCTGTCTCTAAAATCAATAAAGTGCCTGGGAAGACAGGTTGACGAACCACAAGGGGAAGCAATTCCTCTAAGGAGTGACTACTGCCTTCAGGTAAGGGTTCAAAGAAACCAGCTATGGGCACAACGAGGGCAAGAGGAGGGCAGCTCCTGTGTCGCGGAGTCAAGTGTGTGGAAGAGAGGGGCCAGAGAAGCATTTCTCCGACATACAGCAGGGGCCGGTTCGGGGCTTGGCCGGAGTCATTCGTGGGCACACTGTAAACCCTGGTCTTATTCCTGACCCTCCACTTTCTGACTTGCACGACTATACAGCATACAAAGGGCTTTGCTAGGATCCGAACACACGTCTCTCCAAAGATGACATACAAGTGGCCAGCGACACCTTTTCAGGTACTCGTTGCCCAACACCATGAGCCACGAGGAAGATGCGGGTCAAGACCACCTGCGAGGCCACCTCGCCTCGTCCACACCCGCAGGGACGGCCCAGGTCAGAGGCAGGAACGCGCGCTGGCGAGGACATGGGGGGACTGGAACCCTCGCCCTCGGCTGTAAGATGGTGCGGGCACTTTGGAAACAGTCTGGCAGTTCCCCCAAACGGTGAAACAGTGTAGCTGGGCCGGGACCCTCCTCCTCGGAACCCAGGTGCCAGGCCCTGAGACGGCTGCTTGATCGGCACCACTCTATTTGGCCAGTTCGATTATGCGTCTTTCACAGACGAGCGAACTCGGAGAAGCGAGATGATGATGCGGGCGGCAGCCCCAGAGGCCAGTCACTCCGCCTGTCCAGCCACAGGGCCCTGGCCAGGCCTCTGCACTTTGTCAGGGCTCGGTTCCCTCACCTACACCACCTCCCAGGGTGGATCCAAGAAGAAAGGAAGGTGAACAGTTCTGTGAGCTGCCTGGCCAGGGTAAGTACTCAATGTCAGCGAGGGAGACCCCCGGTCCGAGAGTGAAGGGCCGTGCTGGATTCACCTTCAGAGCTAATTAGCACCCAGTAGATGCTGAGACATATCACCTGAACCTAATCGACAATAAAGGAGCTTCTTGAATCCAATTCCCCCTTCGGGGAACCCTCAGTTCCCACACACCCCTACCTTCTGATAATTTGATGACCAGCTTGGCCAGAGACTTACCCAAAATTTTCCCCATGGCAGAAGCTACAAAAACAAAACCCAGCCCGCCCTCCTGGCTAGAGAAAGCCTCTGGGGCAGGGGCTATCAGGCAGCAGGCCACTAGGTGGCAGCACACGCCCGCTCAGCTTTCTCAGGGCGCACAGGCCTGGGCCTCTGAGCACGTGCAATCCGGCAGCTGGAGAAACTTGCCGGCGTCATCAGCCCAAGTTCCAGCAGCACTGGAGGCACTAAGGTCACTGGCCACCCTCTCTGAAGCATGGACTGTCCATACATTAGTTCATTTACTCCTCACCACAGTCCATTGCACAGAGGAACAAAGTGACCTGCCCAAGATGACAGGGCTGCCGCGGCCCAGGTCTGTCCGGCACTAAAGCCCAGGGCCTTTCTCCTCCCCGTGGCCCATCCAAGCCCGCGGACAGCAAGCTGGTTAGTTCTGCCCAAAGGTCTGAGCCTGGAAGAATATGGGGGCCACAGACACAGGGACCCATGGTGACCGCAGGCACTCAGAGCTTCTCCTGGGCCAGCAGGTTCCAGGTGAGGCGTTCCTGCCGGTGAGTCAGAGAACGCAGATGTTTCTAACCGCTGCCGGAGGCTGAGCGCACAGCAGGGCCTCTCATAGCTGCCGGAGCAGGAGGTCCTCGGAGACGCCCAGACGCCGCCCAGGGCAGGCCGGAGCCTCGTGGGGGCTGGGGCTCGACGGGGCCTCGAGCCCCGGCCCCCACCGGGTGCCAGCCCTCGCAATGACTGCCCTCACTGCGCACACAGGCGTCTGACGACACGCCATTGGCGAAGGGTCCCGACTGACTCATTTTACAGTGGGGGAAACTGAGGCACAGAGCTAGGTGATCATGGGCAGGACAAACAAGCAAGTCTAATTGCAGGCTCTTTTCCCTGGACAACCTGTCATACCAAAGCTCCTTCTACTCACTTTCCTGCTTGCTAAATACACTGTTGTACCTGCTCGACGGCCAAGCTGCCACTTATTCAGCAGTGAGCACCCCAGCACCCGCTGAAAACCCCTCAAACACCCCGGTGGCTCCGCCATGTGCTCCATTCCACCTTCACACAGCGGGTGTGACGGAGACGATCACCCCAGTTAGCAGACGGGGAAGTCGAGGCTCTGCGAGGAAGGGGCTTCACCCAGGCCACGGCACGAGTTCGAGTGGCAGACGGGATTCCCGCACGGCTCCGACCTGAAACCGAGCTTCTGCCTCCACAGCGATGTCTTTCCTGTCCCGACTGATGTCCCATCTGAGTCCACGTTAACAGGAAGCGCTCGTCCTACCATATGCCTGACCAGTCCTCACACCGGCCAGGCCGTCAGAGACCAGGCCTGAGGGGCTGCTGCAGCCCTGAGGAGCCTTCGGGGACAGAACGACTAAAGGGATGTGGGGTCCTGGATGGGGTCCTGGCACAGGAAAAGCTCTTTAGATAAACACTCAAGAAGCCTGACTCAACGACGGACCTTAGTTAATAATAAGGTATTAACCTTGGTTCGCTAACTGTAAAAAGCATCATATGAATGTAAGATGTGGATAATGGGGGCACCTGTGTGTGTTGGGGGTTACATGGGAACTCCGTACTATCGGCTCAATATCTCTAAATCTAAAGCTGTTCGAAAAAAGTCTATTTTTTTTAAAGTGAGTGCATATGACTTGCTCACTGCAAAGACCACAAGGAAGTGGAAAATGATTAGGGTTCGACCCCACGAGGCGTGTGCCCCAGAAGGCAGAGATCTCTGCCAGGCCCCTTTGCTGCGCAGTCCCCAGGGCTGAGCACTCTCCCTGGTGCACGGGGAGCCATCGGGGTGTGTGGGGTGACTTCCGAGGGTCAGATTTGTTCTATGCACCACACACGAGGCCCAGGTCCCAGCTGCCTGACACAGGTCCCGATACTAGTCATTAAGCAGTTCGAACAGGGAGTCTGGGGGGTGGGAAGGAAGGTCCTTACACAGGGGCTGGTGGGTAAGGCGTGACGGGAACCGAGGGGACGTAGGCAAAAGCAGCAGGGACTGGTACCGACGGCGCAGCAGCCAGATACCACAGTCCAGGGGGCGGCTGGGGCGCCGCCGCCCGTTTGCTCCTGTGCTTGGGGCTGGACGTTGAAGGTGCACTCCTCCTTGTGGTGGCCTTTTCTGCCCCTGTCGTGGAAGGACACAGAGACACAGTCTGACCGCTTGGGAAGATCTAGCAGACAGCAGAGGGCCCGTCCGGGCTCTGCCTGTTAGAGCCGGACTCCGGCTGGCCAGCAGGGCGTGCCGGCCTTGGGAAGCGAACCCTCTGCCCAGCGTGCTCCAGCTCAGACTGAGGGGAGCAGCCCCCTGCTAATCCCACCTGGGCCCGAACCCGCATCAGGGAGAGTTGGGAAGAGACTGGGCATCTGTCCCTACCAGAGGCGGATGGGTCTGGGCCTGGGCCATCTGCCTCTGGGGAGGACTCAACTCGGCCACACAGGGGACATCGCAGGGCACCAGTGGAAGACAGTCCTAGCGGGTCCTTGCTGACAGCACCCCCTGGAAGATGAGAAAGAGACGTCAGGGGAGGGTCACGTCCGAATCGCCAGGCCTGGAGCCTCCCCCACAGACCTCCCAAAGCCCTGAAGGCCCAGGAACCGTGCACTGGAGACAAAGTGCCTCCTCGGGTGACAGCGCACGCTGGCAGGCGTGACAGTGAGAGGCCACACTGAATAAGCTGGGTCCTCTGCTCAGAATGTCGTGTTATTCCATCAAATCCAGCGAGCCACTGGGCTAGCCACTACCCCGCCTGGCGGAGGGGACGCTGAGCTCCAAGGACCCAGGGCTGGGAAGCGGGGTCCCGTCTGATCCCAAGCCCAGCTCTCCTGACTGCAGCCAGCACCTATGGTCCTTCCTCCAGTGACAGGCCGTTCTCCATGTGGGAGTGCCCCACAATGGTCCCGGCACCAGAGGGGTCAGTGGAAGCCTATACTTGCCCAGCTAGCAGGAGGAGAGAGGGTCACCTTTTTCTCTCCCACGCAAATCCTCATGCCACCTCTGGGCCAGTTCCAGGGCTCAGCCATCGCTCCCTCTGGGGAACCCCCGTCCCTCCAGGCTGAGTTACGTGTGCTCCAGCAGCCTGTGCCCCCCCCAGCTCTGACCATGCCTTTCTGTCATTGTCTGCTTGGCTGGGAGTTCCATGGGGACAGGGCTCCGGGCCCAGGATGGGAAAGTGGTGAGCGAGCCAGCGAGTGAGTGAATGAATGAATGGATGAATGAATGAATGGATGAATGAATGAATAAATGGATGGATGGATGGATGAATGGAGAGGACTACTGGAACTCTAGCAAAGGCAGAGAGACACAGTGAAGTACCAGGGCTCTGCAGCTACAAAGACCTGGGTTCAAATTCTGGCCCTACCACTGGTAAGCTATATGCTCTCGGACAAGTTACTTAACCTCTCTTGACCTCACTCATAAAATGGCCATAATAATAAAATGGGAAAAACCCACTTCATAGAATTGTGAGGGCTAATGTTTGTAAAACCCTTAGCATGATGTCCTGTATATAGTTCAGGCTTAATAAATGAAAGCTCCATCATTATCATCATTGCTTAAAGGTCCCCAGAGCCCATTATTAACCCTTTCATTATGTATTTGGAAACTGAGGCTCAGAGAAGTTAAGGAACTTGCCTAAGGTCACACAGCAAGTCAGTGGTAGAACTGGGACTAGAACCCAGTGTCTATATTCTCAGGCCACTGCTCTCCCCGCTACTCTTCCCTGTTGTGTGGGGGGGAAAGGACATGGAATGGAGGGAAGGTGAAGGGGACAGACGACATCATCACTGTTGCCAGCCCCTCTGCTGCCCCGCTCCCTCCTGTAGGACCCTTCAGAAACTTCTTTAATCACGTCCATGGTTTCTCCATGCCAAGGTCAAGGAGGGTGGCTTCAGACAGCAGCACCTGGAGCACCAGGCGTGAGGGCAGGACACCCTGGGAGGCCTGAGAATCCCGAAAAATGCGGTTCCCTTGTCTGTACCTCTGACCTGCCTGCGAGCTCAGGGCAGGCCCACGCCTGCCGACGTACCCGCCCCAGAGAGAAGCTGCAGCCTACCGCCCTGGCTGCTGCCACCCTTACCTGCATCCTGCGTCCTAACAGGCTGGCAGTGGGGACAGGAGACTGGGTCACTGCCTCCTGGGGCACTCTTGGGGGTCAGAACGTGGTACTCCTGGCCTGGGGGCGAACAGAACAGTCAGCGTTGGCTCTCCACATGGCCACAGAACTGAGCAGGGATTTAGTAAGTGACCTCTCTCCTCTCCCTTCCAAATGATTTTTAAAAAAATATGTTTTCATTGATTTTTTTTGAAGGGAGAGGGAGAGAGAGAGAAACATCGATGTGAGAGAGAAACACAGATTGGTTGCCTCCTGCACGCCCCCTACTGGGGATCGAGCCCTGACTGGGAATGGAACTGGTGACTTCTTGATGCATGGGGTGACACTCAATCCACTTGAGCCACACTGACCAGGCTCCCAAATGGTTTTAATAGTCTCTCTCTTTCTATGGTGCATGTACACACACGATACATGAGCATAAATGAGTATATATAAATGTATCTGTGCATGTCCACAAAGACACACTGGTCTTTCTGTTTATGGTGAGCTCTCTCAGACTCCTTTCATCTCAGATCCTCTAGGTACCACCTGCCTAGTCCTCCATATACAGAGCAATCGACAAACCCAGGCTGTTGGCATTTGCAAGCAAGCCAGGGAGACATGCTAAGCAGTGACCAGTAGTGTCACCACTCTCCCCAGACCCCACTGGCTGGTCGGGATGGGAACGGCCTGTGCACGGGGTCAGCGGCGTTTTCTCCCTGTGCTCCGAGGGGCTGTTTGAGGAGAGTCACAGGGCTTCCTGGGCTTGTCAGCAGGACTGACGGGCCGCGCCAGTGAGGGCGGCTGCCCAGTGCCTGGCAGATAGATGAAAAGCACTCGGTGTTATCAGAAAGCTGGTCAGACTCTCAGATCCTCGTCCATCCCTGAGTCTCAAATAAGATCCGAATGCTGCCTGATTATTGATCATTTTTCTCTCCTTTGCCATGTGGGGTTCCCACTTTATACTCTGTGTGTTGCACTGGGGTCCCCTGGACTTTCTGTGGTTCTCACTTGTGACTCCTTGGCCACTGTCCACTCCACGGGGGCAAGACACGTGTCTCGTTTCCTGCCTTGTCCCCAGCACTCAGCCGAATGGCTCTGAGGTTAGCCACTCTCCGTCCCAGTGAGGTGTGGGTAAGAGCCGAGTCCTTACGTCCTTGCTCTAGTTATGCACACATGTACTACGAACGCTCGCTGGCCATCGTCCTCTCCGCGAGGCAGTCAGGTTCGTGAGAGCGGGCCCTGTCCGTCTTTGTCTCAGTGTTAAGCACTTTGAAATCCTACTATGTGTCATCTCAAGCTTATCAGGTGCCAGGTGCCCCGTTCATAAGACGCGGGGCCCCCGGAGAGTCGGACCTGGAGGTCGGCCAGGAGTGAACGATTCCGTGTTCACCAGCAGCCCAGGTCCTGCAAACAGCAGGCGCTTCATCAGCCTCTCCAGTGGCGACCAGCTGAACGGGCTTCCCCAGACCCACGCACGAGCCCCCGCAGAGGGAGGCCTCAGGAACTGTTTGCTGGATGAGCGAATGAACAAATGCCCAGGTTCACAGAGGCAACGCTCCCCGAAGTTGTTCGTGTCACAGAACTTGCAGAAACGATCATATTGAAGGGCTAAGAGGAAAAGGCTTCTCGTGACAGGGGAGACCACAGCCCTGCCGGCCCACCTGTATAATGGCCCCGGAAGGTGACCCTGTCTGGCCGTCCGGTGCTGCGCAGTCCTCTCACTTTGTCCCGGGCTGCCTGTGGGCTGTCCTTCGTGGTCCTGCCCTTCTCAGCGAACAGCCAGGGGGAGGTTGGCTCAGATTCGGAACCTGGGGTGGGACGAGGGTGGCATCAGAGCGGCAGGCAGTGGGGCAGTAGTGTATCTAACCCCAGATCCAGCCCTTAGGAACAAAGCGGACACTTCGGACCCCTGCCTTTTGCTCAGCCCTGGTCTGGACACTGCATGCACCGTGTCCTGCACCCCTTGGCAATTCCAGAAGCAGGTGCTATCTTTCCGGCAATGCCAGTTGTCCCGTTAACTACGTGGGATGGTAAACGGCGGGGCCAAGGTCACACGGCCAGGAAGGAGTGAGCTGGGCTGAACCCGGCCCCTGATTCCAGAGCAGTGTTACTTAGGCGAGTCCCCTGCACTTCGGGGCTTGGGTGTCCTTATCTGCAGAAGGTGGACAACAGGACCCACCTGCAGGGAAGAGTAAGCGAGGTGGTGTGCAAGCCCTGATGGACGAGCTCACTGGAAGCGCGCTGTGCCTCAGACTCCACCACCGCCCAAAGCGCACGCGGACGCCGCTCAGGGTTTGTCTAAGCCCGCTGCCGCGGCCCTGACCACTGCACCAACCTGCCCCGCTGCAGCCTCCAGAAATCAGTCCTGGCAGGAGGTCACTTACTCAAGGACAGTCGGGGCACCTCCCGAGGCACCGAGGAGGACCTGGCTCGCCGCCTTCCTGTGGGGACAGCTTGCTCTGCACCTCCAGGCTCACTGGACAACCTCTCTGTGGATTTACTGGAAAAAGAGAGACAGAGAGAACTGATGTCATCGGATGAGGTGATGACATCACTGAAGATAATGTCAACCCAGAGAAATACTTGTAATGGGAGGAGGAGAGCTCAGGAGTCCAGACTACAGACCCTGGAGTCAGAACCACAGAAGATGGCTCTGGTCTCTGTGACCCTCAGTTTCCTCATCTGTCAAATGGGGATGATAAGAGCAATTACTTCAGAGGGTGGCTGGAAGGGTTAGTGACAAGAGGTCCACAAAATCTTTAGCCCAGTGTCCTCCCAGGGACCATTCCAAGTCAGCTACTTTTGTATCAGCATGGACGAGTGTCTGATGAGCAAGTCGGGGAGAGGGTCAGGGTCCTGAAAGTGAGCTCTTCAGATGGTGGTGAGTCCAGGGATCTTCATGGTATCAGACTTCATTATGAACATACATGTGCACTGTATTTTTATGCTTCAAGACACAGTATGAAAATATAAGTAAGGGTGAATGAATGATTGAGCGAATGAATGAGAGAGGGGTGCAGCTGTGCCTGTGCCCACATGTCTGGGGAGAGCCGGCCACGTATAGCTTCGGTGCTGCCACCAGGGCACAAGCGTGGGGGTTTCGGGGTCACCCACCTGCCACAGTGGGAGCCCCAGGCAGCTGGGGAATCTGCTGGCCGGTCCCGGGCCCGGGCGGGGCGGTGGAAGGTGGACGCTGGCCGTGTGGGGCTGCCCTGGGGTGGCTGATGCAGGCTGTCCTCCAGCCGGAGCCGGAGTCGGGACACTTCGTCCTGCAGCTCGCGGATGGCCTGGCTGGGGGGAGAGCAACGACGATGGAGAGCCTCCATCCCTTCCCAGGAGGCTCAGGACCCCACCCTGCTGCTATTTGATGCTAGAACTTCCCTGTGAGTCCGCTTTTCTAGCTACATTTTTTTTTTTGAGAGAGAGAGAAACATCGATTTGTTGTTTCACTTATTTATGCATCGATCGGTTGTTTCTTATATGTTGTGCCCTGACCGAGAACTGAACCCAACCTTGGTGTATGGGGACGAAGCTCCCACCAAGTGAGCCACCCGACGGGGCCTTGCTGCACATCTCGAACCGCCCCGAGTTCGTGTCCTGCACAACCGGCGAACGAAGCAGCCGTCTCCTTGAGGTTCACCGTCCTAACACGCAGGGCCTCTGAGTGCTGCTCTGAACCACCAGGGCCCAGTTCTCAAGACAGAGACCAGGGTGCAAAGGCAGAGGGCACTGGCTGACGTTCCTCTTTAAAATCGGACTTCTGACCTGCCTCGGCCCAGGGCTGCCCTCCCTTCCTCCCTGTCTGTAGAAATCCTCACCGTCTGTCCAGGCCCGGCCCCTTCCCATCGGGGCCCAGCCTCTCCCTCCTGGGTTACCCCCAGCGCTCCCTATGTTGTCCAAGCCCATCTCTCCCTCCTGGTAGACGATGCTTGTCCACCTGCCTCCCGGCCGGACAGTGGGCCCTGGCAGGCGAGAAGCAGGCTCCCTGTCTCACCACTGCCGAGACCCTCCCGCCTCGCAGATGCTCTGGGAACGGCTGGACTCACACAGCGCGACCTCATTCGGCCGCTAGCACCCGGGAGTAAGCACTGTTTGCATTTCTCACCGTCCAGCCCAGAGCTCCAGGCTCATTCTGGGGGTGTCACTGGCATTGTGCAGACAATCCCACCCAGAAACTCCCCCCTCCAACCTCCCTCCAACCCCAACAGTGTCACAGGGGTTCGGCCTGGCCATTCTCCAGGCTGCTGTGGGCTCTCCGTCCGCTGCTTGGGGCCCCTTCCGGGGCAGGGCCCCCCTCAGGTCAGCTCTTGCCTGGCGGCCCCTGGACCCATGGGTGTCTCCTGGCACCGCCTCCAGCAAACAGGAGCTCTCAGGTAAGTGTGCCGATGGAGTGGGAGGCCTCTCTCTCGCTCTAGTCTGCCCCAGCGCCCTGTGCGTCGGAGGGCAGGGAGGGCAGGCGGTTTCCCTGGCAATCCCCAGGGAGACGCCTGCTGGGTTTCCAGGGCCTGCAGGAGAGGCGGTGGCTGCAGGAGAGCCCGGCACCAGTTAACCCCCGGAAGGCAGGGCCAGGCTCCTGGGCGTGCGGACCCGGGCAGCTCTGCTTCCTGCCCCAGGCCCCTGAACGAGGGCATGGGACTGGAGCACCCACTTGGGGGTCACTCTGCATCGGGACCTCAGTTTTCCTGATAGTTCTTTAGGGGCTCAGCTGACACTTACATTCATCTTCCCCTGTAAACTCTCTTCCCCTCCAGTTCCCCATCTCTGTATCAACATCCAACTGTGGCCAGCCAAAAATCAGTCATTCTAGACTCTTTTCCTTCTTTGAACACCCCCTAAAGTTAACCAACGACCAAGTCCTGTGGGCCCAACGCCTAAATAGCTCTTCTCTAATGCATTCCTCCTTCCTCCCGCCGCCCCCACCCCATCTCTCTCATGGAGGAGGTGGTTCCTCAGCCTCCTCCTCCTTCCTCCCGCCGCCCCCACCCCATCTCTCTCCTGGAGGAGGTGGTTCCTCAGCCTCCTCCTCCTTCCTCCCGCCGCCCCCACCCCATCTCTCTCCTGGAGGAGGTAGTTCCTCAGCCTCCATTCTCACTCTTGTAGCACCCAGACAACTCTTTCTGAACCGTACCTGACCACACCACTCCCCTGCTTAAAACCCCTCACTGTGCTCAGGGGTCTGCATGCATTCATGAATATGCAATGAACACCTCTGAGCCCAGCCACCACAAACCTCTGACCATGGCATCTGAGGCCCTCCAAGATCCCCCCCACCCCACCCTACCAGTCTCCGCATCGACTCTCTGCCTTTACTGCTCAACACCCATCACCTCACACTCAAGGATCTGGCTAGAATGAGCATTCGACTCCTCAGAGGAGACAGTGCCTGCTACCTCAGGTCCTTTGTACATGCTCTTCCCTCTGCGGGTGATACTCTTTCATGCCTCTTCCTCTGGTCTCAGCTGAGATTCCACTTCCTCCAGGAAGTCCTCCCTGAAGCCTCCAACTGAGCTAAATGCCCCTTCTCTGTGTTTCAACAGTCCTTCGAGCCTCTACATCATTGTACTTAGCCCACTTCGGGAGGGACCACCTGTTTCGTTGTCCGCCTTTACATAATGGTGAGCCGTATAAGGCTAAGTGCGGTGTCTTGTCCACTGTAATGTTCCTAAGCCTCTAATTCCTATGCTGATGTCAGGGAGACCACAGGAGTACTTACTAAACGCAGACCTGGAAGCCAAAGCCAGCAGCTGGACCTGACTGACACTGGACAACATGACAGACGGCCCCATGATTGCCCAAGCCACAGAGGTTTGGGATGGTTACTGCAAAGCTCTCCCCAGGGCATCCCAGGATTCTGGGACACACACCCCAAATCCACAAAGGCATGTGATTGATCCTTGAACAAAGTGCTCAGAGGAGAGGTAAGAGGGCTGCCCAACATCTTCCCATGTCTGCTCAACCAAGCAAGGAGCAACTTCCTTAGTAGAAAAACTGTGCTTGAATTAAAAGGAGAGACCTGAAAAACAACCTCTTCTCAGTTCATACAATGAACGCATGAACTGCAGAAAACATAGCCCTGGCTAGTGCAGACCTGTCCTGGAAGGAAAAGGTTGGGGGGCAGGAAGAGAGGTTTCTGCACCAGAAAGGGGAACCTCTAGGTCATTTCCCACTGGTGGAGACGGGTCTTCAAGGTCTGGACAAATGAGGTCCCGCAGAAACGGGCTGGGAGGCGGGACACCTGTGTCCCTCGGCCCCAGCACAGCCCCCACTGGATGTGAAGGCTGAGCGAGCCCCTGCCTCCCTCGGGCTCCACGCTCTCATCTCCGACGACCCTGAATCTGCGGTGCCTGAGGTCTGACTTACTCTCGCCCGGTCCTGGTGAGGAGGGTTGGGGGGGTGTCTGTCAGTCCACGGGGCAGAGCAGCGACTGCAGGGGCCGGAGTGGAGGGTGGGCTGACCTCCATGCCGGGGTCAAGCTGCTCAGAGTTCCGCTTTCGTCCCTCCAACTGCAAGCCAGGGACAGCTAGGGAGGCAGAACGAGACCAACGTGAGTTTCCATGGAGAAGACTCAATACACGAACTTGTATGGGCGGAAGAACGCGGGGTGAAGAGACAGCGCCCGGCTAAGGTCACAAATGAAGTTCCTGATGGGGTCAATGACCCACTAACCTCAAAACCAGAAGATGGGGTTTTTGCTGAGAGTTTGGGGTGCTAAGCGAGGCCTGAGACGTTACTTGTAATTAGAATGCCCTTCACAGTCCACTGTTTTGGCATCAGATCCAAGTCTCCAGGGCCCTCCCCCCCACAACGAGCACACTGTTCCCCACATGGGTCCCCAGACTGTCGTGCACCTCACGGTTGTTCTGGCATTGGCTCCGAAGCCTCCAACGGAGTCACACCTTCGCCTAAGCGCATGTTTTGGGGGAGAATGTCCACAGCTTTGGCCTCCCAAAGGGATGGGTGACCAGAGGTTAGGACCACTAATCTGGCCCATGCATTAAAAACAAATGATAAAGGAACAAGCATAGATACATGGGACAATCTAGAAAAACCTTCAGAGAATTATGCTGAGGGAAAAAGCCAATCCCCAAAGGATATATATTATACTATTCCATTTATGTAAGTCTAGAAATGACGAGATTATAGACATGGAGAATAGATTAGTGGTTACCAGGAGCTGAGGAGGGGAGGCGGGAGGGCAGTGGCCTGTCTATGCAGGAGGACAGGGGGTCTGGGGGGCGGGAGGGCTCCGGGCTGAGTCCATGTCCATATCTGGCCATGACCCTTCCCTGTAACTTTGCAAGACGTTATCACGGGATAAAACCGGGTGAAGGGCCCATGGGGTCTCAGGGTATCATTTCTCAAAACTGCTTGTGAATCTAGAATTAATAAAACTTCAAATGAAAGTTTAATTTAAAAACATGTTTAAATGATGAACCTTCGAAAGAGGCAAAGCTAGTCTGAGGTTTTAGAAGTCAGAGCAGTGGCCCCGTTGGGCATGGGTAGAAGCGACGGGGGGGGGGGCTCGAGGGGATCTGGAGGCTATGATCATGCTGAGATTCTTGGTCTGTGTTCACTTTGGGAAAACTCATCAATCTGTGTTCTTTCCTGTATGTTTTATTTCAGTAAAAAGCTCACGTGCGTTTTTAAATGTAAAAAACTAAATTACAGAGAGATTTTATAGCCATGGAAAGTGTTCATGATTAACAAACAAAAGGAAGTTATCAAACATTCAAGTATACTATGATCCTATTTCCAAATTAAGTACATGTAATTGCACGCACACACACGCACGCGCGCGCGCGCACACACACACACACACCCCTCGCAGGTCTATACCAAAACGTCAGCAGTGAGTTTTCAGTGTATTTTTTTTTTTTGTTCCCCTTTGTCCACCCTACCTGTAATTCCAAATTCTCCTATAATGAACCTGTATCATATTTTCTATCCTAAAGGGTAATGCAAGTTTTTGGGTTTTTTTAAATCCAGGCAATTTGGTCACCCCAGGTCCTGGTCACCCCAGGTCCTGGTCACCCCAGGCGCATCCACTCACCTGTCTCGGCTGCCAGCGCCGGCTCCTGGCAGAAGATAGGTACCCTCCGGTGGAGAGGACTGTCCCGGGTGGAGGGGTGCCTCTGGGCTCGACTCCTGGGTGTTCTGGGCTCAGTGGCTCTTCTGGGGACCAGAATGTCTCTGGTCTGGGGGTGGGAGGCTGCATCCCGGGGCACAGAAGCAGTGAAGGGTTGGGCTAATGTCCCTGGGGCACTAGGGGATCATGGAAGGAAAGACACGTTGAGATCACACAGAGAGAGGCCACAGCCTCCGAGCCCCTCCATGCCCTAAACCAATGCCCCCCTGCCTTAGGGGTGCACCCTGGATAGGAGTACTCCTGAGGACACATCCCGATTATATGTGCCTTTCTTTATCGCCTGCAAGCCATACACCTGTCCACCCATCTGTGCAAGATTATAAAGCTCAATTTTGCTTTTAGGAAATATACAGAGAAACAGAATTTCTCATCTTTCTTCCCATGCAGCGCTGGGGGGCCGTGTGGGCCTGCTGGGGGGCCAGCCCGGGGTCTGGAGGCCATCATTCTTCACGGTGGCGCCATCTCTCCACCCTTCCCTGAGCCCCCCATCCTCTCTCCTACCTTTGGGTTCCAGGGGTCTCTTCCCCAGGTAGCCACCCTGACTGCCCCTCCTCCTCATTTTCTGCTCACCTCATGCCACCTTCCCAGTTCTTATTCATTCACCATTCACTCGGCTATTAGCTCAACAAATGTGTATTTCCTAGTCTGTCGCTAATTGGCTGAGTGACGCTGGGCAAGTCATTTTCCCTCTCTGAGCCTCAGTGTCCCTCCATCAGTAAGACAGGAACAAGGAACCACTGTTGGGGGACAAAGGAAGGCCCCAAGGATGCCCAGACCACCCACCCTCTGGGCTCACAGGTACTTCCATTCCCAGGCTATCCCGGGGTGCAGCACGGAAGAGACAATGGGGGGGTCCCCAGGTACCTGGTGTGGGAGAGCCGATGCTCTGGGGTCTGGGTGAGGGGCGACACTCTGCTGGTTTCCGAGCCCACAAAGCCGCTGTCTGTCTCGGGGGATGCCATCCAGGACTCCTGGAAGAGGCGGGTCCCTTTAAACCTGAGGAATGTGCCTGAGCCGACTGGGAAGACAGACTGAGTCCTGGCCTGGGCCTCGCATTCCAGAGGCTGACAGACGGGCGGGGAGGCTGGCCCAGCTCCCAACAGCCAGGCCCTCAGCACCCAGCATGAGCACCAGGTCCAGGGCAGGGGCTCCACGCTGAGGACCCTGAGCAAGTGCCCTTCCCTGAGGCGTGGGAGCCAGGGCCCTGAGCAGGGTACTGCAGTTGCCTGAGCTGGAACGACAGAGGAGAAGGCAGTCCCACTAAGGAAAGAGGATGCTCATTTCCATGTCTTCTGGCCTGGGCCTGGGCCACCATGGTCCTTTCTAACTGCAGAAATGCCCAATGAGTGGGGAAAATGAAATCCACAAGGCTTCCTGCACACCAGGCCTCACATGCCAGGCACGAGAGAATGGGGTGACCTGGATGCATGCCCTCCGTGAGTTCACGGTCTAGTGTGGATTCCTTACCTTGGCACTAGGACTGCATGCATGCGTGCGTGCGTACGTGTGCATGTGTGCGTGTGCACATGTATGTGTTAGTCTCTGGGAATAAGTCACATTCTATAGCATAAGTCACATTTCCACAGTGATCTGTGATCCCTGTAACAGGGTATGGAGTCAAGAACAGCCCCCGGTGGGGGCTAAGCAGGCTCAGAGGGCTGCAAGCTGTCAGAGGAGGAACAAGAGCCCCTGGCAGAGGGACAGTGTGGGGGAAGCTAAGGCAAAGAGGTGGCCTTGGGCATGAGCCCTGCACGTTGGGCAGGACTGTGACTGGCAGCCACAGGAGCAGGTGTTCCCAGAAGGAATGGTGTGAGCAAAGGCCCGGAGGCAGAAAGGCCCTGAGGTCCTGAGCCCGTGCCTCTGTGGACACCTACCTCCAGATGGGGGCCACCAGACTTCTGCGGGAAGCGCTCAGAGATGCCGCTTCCCTCCAGGCTGGTCAGACTGCTCTGGTGGGATGCTGCGGACTTGGTGCCCCGAGAGAGCGGTGGTCTAGCAGGACCCGGAGGAGCTGCCTTGGCCCTGGCCAGGCCCAGCAGGTGCCCATCTCTGGCCATGGGTGCATGGAAGCCTGCTGGTTTCATGGACACCATCTGCTCCACAGTCTCCCTGGCAGAGGAGAGGATGTCAGACCCTGGCATGAGCCGGGCAGCCCTGGCCTGGGAGTCAAGCAGTTCAGGGCACAAGCTCTGATCAGACGTCCCTGGATACCCACTCTGGTCCTGCCACCTTCTAGCCGTGTGACCTGGGCAAGGCACTTGCCGATGAAACACCCCCACCCCCACAGGGAGACAGAGGGAACGATGAGTTAAAGCAGCACCTCCAGGCTTCAGGGATCGGCATCCCGTCGTCCCGTTTGGCCGTTTCCACAAACTCTCAGAAAGACTTTGGGTCACCGTTAGAAACAGAAGACCAGTACATTATATTGCAAGTAGAAACTAACTTCAAAAATAAACACAAGAAACATGAAAACAATATTATCGTCTTCTCTCTGGATACATCGGGTTGCCTGCTCAAGGCTCTGGGCCGGCTACCTGCTCACTTTGTGTCTCTCTGTCTCTCTCGCTCGCTGTTTGTGTTAATCCTCACCTGAGGATATTTTTTCCATTGATTTCCAGAGAGAGTGGTAGGGAGGGAGGGGGAAAGAAAGAGAGAGAAACATCGACGTGAGACACATCGATTCGTTGTCCCCCGCATGTGCCTCATCCGGGGCTGGGGATCGAGCATGCAACCCAGATACGTGCCCTTGACAAGGAATCACACCCACAACCCTTTGGTTGGAAGGCCAGTGCTCTAACCACTGTGCACACTGGCCAGGGCTCCCTCTCTCTTTAAAGGAAGGCCAAGAAAGACATTCTAGCACTAAGACCCTCTCCTTGATGTACTCAGACGGTCTGAGACTGACGAGGAGGACAGTACTGAATGCTGCATCTCCTGAAAACCACGTCCCACCAGCCAGTCACGGCAAGGGATGTCAGTAGCATCCGCTGCACAGGCTGGAGGGACGCTATCGGTCAGGAAGGCCGTGTGTGGACTGCGGAGAGCAGGCCAGCTCACTGAGACAACTGCCACCCTCGTCGTTGCAGAACTGATAGGGGGCGAGCAGGGGAGGCGGGCGGACATACTCGAGGGGGGTCCCGTGACTTCTCTCAGCCTGCACCCGGAGCTGCCTTGAGGGAAGCCGCTTGGTCGGTGCTTTCTCTGGAGCCGGAGCTGACCCATCCACTTCCAGGGCCCTGCCCTCCTCCTCCGCCCCCTCCTCCTCCATCCTCATGGCTTCTGGGAGGGACTTCACACTCAGGTACCTGCAGAAGGACACACAGAGCCGGCATGACCTTGGCCCAGCAGGGACAGCCAAGGTCCAGCCATTGGGCCCGACACCCCACTCCCTCCCAGTGGGTACTCACCGCTCCAGGAGCCCCTGGAAGTCTTGCTCAGCCTGATGCTCCTTGTGCCTGAGCGGGGCTGGGAGGCCCAGCGGCCCGTCCCCCACCTCACCGCCAGGGCTCACCTCCATGTTCACATGCAATGCGCTGGGGTCAGTGCTGGTAGCCTTGGGCTGGGGCCAGGAAGGAGGAGGAACAGAGATTCAACAGATAACTAAACACTACTTTTTAAGGACCTACCTCACGCTGGGTGTTGAAGAGTAAAAAATAGGTTCGACTCACCAACTCCACCACCATTTTTCTGCACGTGCAAAATGTAGGGACTGGAGTGGATGATTCTCAATACTAACTACCATTCATTGAGCACCTACTACATGCCAGACACTGTATGGATATCACTTCACAACAATCCCACTGCTACATACATACGGTTATTGTGACCCATTTTACAGACATGTAACTGAGGCACAAACGATTTGCTCGAAGTCACACAGAAGTGAGAGGCAGAGCTAAGATTTCAACCCAGATTTCTTGTCAGAAGCATCTCTCCTGACCCCTCTCCATTCCGGTATGGACATCCAGCCCCTCAACACCCCTTCACCGCGGGAGCGTGGAAGCCCCTCACGCACTTGGCTTTTGCCAGGAAGTACATGCGACAGTGCCTGGTACAGCTTTCCTGCCTTCTAGGGCACAGCACAATGTGAGAACTTCCCTGACACCTCTGGGCCCCAAGATGTCAGCGGCACGGATATTCTACCAGTGCCCAGCTCTCCACCAGCCCCTGTGGAAAACCTAGTAGTTTAAGACCAAGTGCTTGGTGTGAGCCACTAGCCCCGACCTCATGGAGCCCCTGCCTGCCTCCCCAGCCCCTTCTCTCAGACAAATGCCCCTTCACGTTCCGTTCTCTAGCACAGGCCCTTTGCACAGGCTGTTTCCCCACTGGACAGCTTCTCTTCTGCACCTGGTAAGTCCTATTCTCTGATTTCATTTAAACATTACTTCCTCAAGAAGAATTTATCTGACCACCCAAACTCACTTACATTACTCTGTTATCTACTCTCCTAGAACCCCATAATTCTCTTCCAGAGCACGGATCAAAAATATAATTAAATAACTCTAATTAATTCAACTAGACAAAAAAACTCCATGAGGGTAGAGCCACCTATTTTTTGATTCCCAGTGAATTCCCACCATGTGTCATGGGCCCTGGCAGATGGTGCAAACGTCATGTGTGGTACTGAAGTCGATCAATGAGGGAAGGAAGGAAGGAAGGAAGGAACAGATCAACAGGACGGGGCAGATACCTCCAGGCGGAGGGTCTGGACGGCTGGTGTGTGTGCTTGTCCCGAGGGAGAGGGCAAGCATGTTGGCCGGTGGGAAGAGGGCGTGGCCGGGGGGTTGTCCAGAGGTGGGTCTGACCCGGCTGGCTCAGGCTTTGGCTGGTTCTGTTCCATGTGGTCCCTCAGCTCTTCCAGGCGAATCCCCAGCTGGAATATCTCCGCCTCCAGCTCCCTGGAATGGAGACACCAGCGCTGGGGACTGGGGGGCAGCCACATCAGGCATGTCTGGGAGGCTCTGCGCAGAGCAGACCCCGGAGGGTCTATTCCCCTGGGACACAGGAGGCCTCAGCCCGAGTCCCCCTCTGCCACCAGCAGGCTATGGGGCCTTGACTAAATTCCTGCCCCCTCTGGCCTCAGTTTCCCCGTTCTCCAAAGAGAGGGTTCAGTTCACTTCTCACTGCAGTGAGTCCAGACACACATCTCAGCCTTCGATATCCACCCACTTGTACATCTGGCTAATTAGCATAGGACTTCTCCCTGTTCCCCCAGTGTACACATTATGAGGCTGAAGTGTGCCCCCCCGGTGACCATGGAAGGGGGCCTGCCCCATCTGTCCCCCCAGGCCTCCCTCCCCAGCAGTACCTGCCAGGATCAAATTTCCCAGGTGTCCCCTTGGAGCCGGCAAGCTGCTGAGCCCGGGGCTGCTCCCTGCAGGCCTTCAGGTATTCTTCCTCCAGGGCCGAGTGGGCAGCCTTCAGCCACTGGAAGCCCTGAAATCGTACCAGGGAGGGAGACCTGAGTGCCCAGCCCCTGTGAACTCCATCCCTGCAGACACAGCGAGCAAGACAGCCCATGGAAGGACCACGGGCCGCAGCCTGGGTCTGCGGAGGCCTCCGGGCCCAAGTCCCTGGGATGCTGGGGCCTCTGGAGCCTGCTGGCCCGGTCGAGCTCTCGGCCATAGACTGCGCGACAGAGGCACAGCGTGGAGCCCCAGCCCCAGCTCCCCGGGCACCAGTCCTTCCTGGGTAGAACGACAAGAACCACAATGTTCCGTGACAGTTGCAGTCAAATAGGACCAAGTACTTGAGAGCCCAGGGGTCTTCATTCTCGATTGGCGACACCGTGGGTTTTGGAACCTCAGTTACTCTTCCCCAGATCCTTACAGACTGTCATGATGGATGATGTTATCACCACCACAGTGCTGAAAACGGTCAGTAACGTCACTGAGCACCGAGGCTCCGTGTTAAAGCACGTCACATTCTCTACTTAACCCCAACATAACCCTGGTAAGTGGGGTACACTATCACCTTCAGTTAAAGAGGAGAAAACAGGCACAGAGAGGTTACCTAAGTTGGTGATGGTCACACAGTGAGTGAGCACATTGTAGAGCGGGATGTGAGCCCAGGCTCTCTGGCTCCAGAGCTCATGGGCCTAACGATTACACTCGGCCCACATATGTGTGATCATAGCTAACACATGGCTGACCTCCAGGAGGTGGGATCGTACTGTCATCCCATCCCACTCCCTCTATGCTGACGACAGACTGAGGCCAAGGAACCTGGCGCCCAGCTCCCGCTGTCCCCAGTCAGACTTGGTCTTCTAACAGCTCCCAACCTCCCTAGATATGAAGGAATTAGGATAGAGGCGAAGAAACTGAATGGTTTTGATTTTCAGGTCCTTGATCATCCCCTCAGTGAGATAGCATCATACATGTCACATTTGTAATTGGTAAACGCATGTGACGTCTACCCAGTAACAGAGGGGAATGCTCATACCACTGTACTGTCTATAAAGCAGGTGTTTGCAGCTGTCTGTCTGGGCCCTCTCTCTCCCCACCCTGTTCTGTGCCTTCAGCGTCAACGGGGCTCCCTACATGCTGGCTTCCAGTGGGGTCTGTCCAGCGGGGGGCACCTATGAGAGGTCGCAGGGCAAGAGGAGAGAGACCCAGGAGTGAATGGCTCCGGGCAGGTGCTAGTCACTGGGCTTCCCTGTTGCTGGTCAGGCCGCTGACGCTGCCTCACCCCTGCTAACTGCTCCTTCATTGACACCCCCAGCCTAGCTGTGAGCGGTCCACCTGCCCCTTTGGGACCTGGTTGATGCAGCAGGAACCTGAATTTTATATATGATGATAGTTACCTAGAAATGCAGAAGTCCAAAAGGAAGTAAGCCAGTAATGGTTAGACAGGGGCGTTGCCCATTTCGTCCTGCTTGTTTTCATTTTTTTGGCAATTGCTATTATAATAAAGAAAATAAAAAGTGCCCTGGCCGGTTTGGCTCAGCGGTTAGAGCGTCCGCCTGCGGTCCGGAGAGACCTGGGTTCGGTTCCCGCTGGGGGCATGTACCTCGGTTGCAGTTTGTCCCCGGCCCTGGTTGGTCGTGTGGGTGGCAGCCACTCGATGTGTCCCTTTTACATCGATGTTTCTCTCTCTCTCTCTTCCTCTCTCTCCCTCCCACTCTATCTGAACAAAAAATAGAAAAATGTCCTCGGGTGCGGATAAATACAATAAAAAGGAACAGGCCTCTCTCTGGTTGCTGAGGGTGGGATGACTGGGGGGAAGCCATGCAGGGCAGTGATTATGACCCTGGGCTTGGGGATCACAGGCTGGGGTCCAGGCTCTGCTCCTATTAGCTGTGTGGCCTTTGAGTGACCCGTCCAGGATTCAGTTCCCCCTGTTAAATGGGGGTGATGACTGTAACTGCCTGGCTGGGTTTCTATGACGATAAAAGGAAATAATGTACTTTAAAAGCTTCCCATGGTACCTGGCACACCACCATCATTGCTTAATAAGTGGTAACTATTGGAATCTAATGATCATGATCATGCGAAGCTAAGCAGAGGCTGCTTCTTCTAAAAGGAGACACTGTCTGGGATTCGCTAGCCCATCTTGCAGCAAATGAGGCTGCAGGGCTCCGAGGCGGGAGACAGAGCAGTTATCTGGCGGCTCTACGGGCATCTCCGGAAGTGGGCAGTACCTTGAGTTGATCCTGGGGCGTCAGCCGTCCTGCCTGCATCAGGCCCCCAAAGGACTCCACCTGGACATTGGAGAAGGAAACACGTTCCATGAACCCAGACCCTGGAAGATGAGTCCTTCAGACTCCACGCTCAGCCACATTCACGCTCCGTCACGAGGAGCTGGGTCCCGCCTCGGGGTGTGGGTTCCTGCCAAGCACGGAGAGGCATGTGCCAGGAACTGACTTCATCACTGACCTCAGCCTCGGGAAAATTAAAGGGGAGCCTCCAGGAAGTTATCGACAGCAAACACACAGGAGGCCGGGTGTTTGCCGCAGCAGGGGCGGGCGGGGGAGGCAGTGTAAGTGCCTATCTGTGGGCCAGTGCGCAGACAGCAAGAGGAGGCTGGCACGCGTGTGTGTTCTGCTGTATGCATGCCTCCAAGACCAGGGCGCTGTTTGCCGTGCGCAACCATCTGTGTAATATATGTGGAGAGCAAAAAACAAAACATATAAATACAGTTGCTTGTGTATAGTAAACTGTCTCTAGAAGGAAGCAGACCCAAACATGAACTGCTTCTGGGAGAACTGGGTGGCAGAAGGAGGTGTTCTACACTCAAAGTTTCTTCAAACTTTGAACAAAGTGAATTAATTGCCTACCCAGAAATAAATATTCAAATTTGGGACATTAAAAAAGTCAAGGTGCCCTATACTTAGTGACCATTTCTGTAGATGCGTGTGTTGAACGTTTTTGCATGGAACAGATGGCAAGGTGGGAGAAACTTTTCACTGAACACACCTGTGTACCGTGCGAGGGTCTGCACCTACTGCCTTTACAACAAATATTTCCATTAGGAAAAAAGGCAAACGATGATTTGAGGATCATTTCTGGGAAAGCTCTATGTAGATCAGTGTTGAAAAGTAACATGGAAATGTATATAATTATATTATAAAATCTACATAACAAAATAAAAATGTCATGAAAGCTACATATCTAATTTCAAATTTTCTAGTAGCCATAGTAAAAATAGAGAGACAGGTGAATTAATTTGAGTAATATGTTTTATAAACCTCAAATATTATTTCAACATGTAATCAATATAAGAAATGATCAGTGAGGTATTTTCTATTCTTTTTGTCACACTGAGTCCTTGAAACCCAGCGTGTGTGTCCACTTTCAGGATCCCTCAGTTGGACTGGCCATAAGTCAAATGCTCAACAGCCACGTGATCAGTGGCTCCTGTGTCAGAGGGTACAGCTCTGGGTCATCAGGGGTCAGCTCCTGATAGGTGTGATGACCTGGGCTCTGCTTCACTTTACAGCACACAGGACAAGGGGACATACCTCTCCAGTTACAGGACCCAGATTGCCTCACTTTACAATACACAGGACAAGGGGACACACCTCTCCAGTTACAGGACCCAGATTGCCTCACTCTACAATACACAGGACAAGGGGACACACCTCTCCAGTTACAGGACCCAGAATGGTGGTGACATTCGTGTTATTACAACAGGGATGAGCCTGAAAACATTATGCTAAGTGAAAGAAGCCAGAAACAAAAAGACAACCATTCTATGAAATGTCCAGATAGGCGAACCCACAGAGAGAGAAAGCAGACGAGCAGCCACCTGGGGGTGGGGGAGGGGAATGGGGCGGGACTACTTTACGGGAAGGAAGTTCCTTATTGGATGATGAAAATGTTCTCAAATGGATTGTGGTGGTGGTGAATGGCTGTGAATGGTAAAACTCACTGAAGCATTCATTTTAAATGAGTAAATTATACCTCAATAAAACTGTTACAAAAAAAAAAAGAATGCTGGTGTTACTCTGAAAGAATTCGTCTTCTGAACATGGTGATGTATGTCACTATTTCATTTCCCTTTTTGCATTGACAACTAGGAAGCTCAAAGCCAAACACAAATCTGGCAGTGTCCAGAGTCCAACAGAATACTTTGTTTACTCACTTCACCCGAAGTTCATTTTATTTTTGTTCTACCCTTACTTCCCCCCTGCCCCCGTTTCCTCACTTCCGTTTGTAGAGTGTGGCTATAACGCATGTACTTTCTAAGCCACGATTGGAGCGAGGCCAAGGGTGTACCTATAAACAGACCTGCAAACAACTCGCCGCTATTGGGACTGATCGATGAAAATATAAAGGTCCTTTAAGAGGTGACTGAGAATTGGTTTCTGCAATGAAATGAAGAATTGGGGTAAATTATCCTGAAGAGGGAAGGCCCAAAATCCTGGGAGCTGAGAGTGTCCCCAGGGGTGAACCAGGAGACATTTCCAAGCACAACAGGAGAGAGTTTGATGAGATGCAATGCCCAAAAGGGAGTTAACCCAAGCACTGGGTGACAAGGAGGAGGCTGGAGCCACACGGCCTCTGAAACCAGGGGAGAGGCTCCTGTATTTGACATGATCAAGTTAACTCTGGCAGGGGAGGGACAGGTGGGACAGGTGAGCCGCACAGAGAGCCTTTCATCTAGGCAGGCAGAGGCTCTGCTTTCTCCAGGTGACGTGTGTCCCAGCTGGCAAAGCTGGGGTTCCACTCACCTTGGCCAGGAACTGGCTGGCCTGGGAAGCCAGCGCCTGGGTCCGTTCTGCTGAGAGCTGGTCCTTTGCGGTGCCTGAGTTCTCCGGAAGACACCCCTGGGTGGGCGCACTGGAGGGCGAGGGGGGGCTTGGGTCTCCTCCAGCTGACGACCACCCTGGAATACACAACCACTGAACACTGGAGCCAAAAACAGTCCTCCTGGGGCTGAACCACTGAGCCCCTGAGCCACTGAGCCCCTGAGCCACTGAGCCACACCGCAACACCACGGCCTCCATCATCAAGTTACAGCTCAGTCATCTCCCAGTCACTCCATCTTCACAGAGGCCCATAGAATTAGGCGGGGCCGTGCTGTCCCCATTTACAGGAGAGAAAAGGCCTGGATCTGCCCCATCACACGGCTGGAGCACAGCCAGGCCTGGAGGCTCCCAGTCAATAGTGTGGGCTCTAACTCAGAAAGCAGCGGGTTCCATCCCAGCCGCCCCCATGAGGCAGTGTGACCTTCAGCACGTGCTCAAGTCTCCGAGCGCTGGTCTCTTTAACTGTCAGTGGGTCACACCAGCACGTACCCAGCCATGGAAATTAGCTGGGGATTCACTGGGATCACGCGTGTCAAGGCTGAGCACAAGGCCTGGCCCCCATATGGGCTCCAGCGACAATGCTCTTTGTCATGCAACTCACCCAAGATCCCCCCGCTGCTAAGTGGCAGAGTGAGGGCATGCCCCAGGCTGCTCTGGGGGGACACTTTCCACATCTCCATGTGACCTCTTCAAGGCAAAGGGCCCCAAGAGGGGCCTCACATTCCTCCCTCCCCTGGCCTGAAGCCAGTGTCACCCTGGGGTGAACCAAGTGCCCCCAGAGCAGAATTACGAGCCCTCCAGCCATGTCTCTTCTCCCAGACTCACCCGAGGCCTCCAAGACCTGTGGGGCCGCAGCAGGCCCTGCTGGCCACCGCTCCACGGAATGGGGCTGCGGGATGGTGAAGGATAAGACCTTGGTCCCCTGGGGCAACACCCCTGTATGGAGGCTGTGGCTGGGCTTGGGTGGGTCTGAGTACAGGTTCACCTGTTCGGGAGAGAGGCACAGGCAGAGCCAAGTCAGGATTGGGACAAACCCACCCAAAAGGCCCTAACGCATTCACACCATCACTTAGGCACTCAACAATCATGCCTGTAGTCATAAATGCTACTTTTCAGTGGAGTGCTTGGGTAAAAAAACCAAACTCTGGGTGCAGGGCTCACATTTCATTCTCTCTTTATGAAAGTCCCAAAGGGAGGCAGGAGGGGCACTGAAGTGGAAACTGAGATTCAGAAAGGTGAAGTCACTAACTAAAAATCCCCAGCAGATAAATCCTTGGGCTGGGATTATAACCTAGCTTTGACCCCAAAGTCCATGTTGTTTTTTTTTATGTTAATTATTTTAAAATAATATTGTTATAATAATGTATACTATAACCACAATAGTATTATAATAGTTAACATAGATCAAGTATAATATTATAATATTTATGAATACAAACTTTTTAATAAGTATTGTATTGATATTATCAGCAGTCGACGGCTGCTTGAGTGCATGAGTAAACCAACAACTAAATGAACTACTCTCAGTTGCAGAAGATCGTCATCACTGAGGATGATTTGACCCGGTAAACAGCCCAGTGTGTAAGAGAGGTCTGGAGCCAGGCAGCAGCCCAGGAAGACCATTTGAAGCTCAAAATTAGAGGCGACCCATGTACCATACAGTGGTTTAGAGCAGGGTTGGCAGACTGTAGTCTGTTGTTGTGAATAAGGTTTTAGTGAACAAACATGCTCATTTGCTGGGTGCTGTGCATGGTGGCTTTCATGCTACAACTGTGGAACCAAGTCATACCATAGAGACTGCATGGTCCACAAAGCTGAAAATATTCACTGTCTGGCCTTCAGCAGAGAGTTTGCTGATCCCTGGCTTAGCATGGGAGCTCTGCAGAGCCTGGATTCACATCCACCTGAGTCATGGAGCAGCTGACTTAACTAACCTCTCTGTGCACAAAGTAAGTGCTCAGGAGACAGCGGCCACCACCCTCACATTCATCATCACCATCGCTGCCACTATTACCACTATCACCACCGTGATCACCATTACCATCATTACCATTACCACCATCATCACCATCATCATCATCATGATCACCACCATCACCATCATGATCACCATTATCACCATCATCACCATCATCATCATGATCATCACCATCATGATCACCATTATCACCATCATCACCACCATCATCATGATCACCATTATCACCATCGTCACCACCATCATCATGATCACCACCATCACCATCATGATCACTATTATCACCATCATCACCATCATCATCATGATCACCATTATCACCATCATCACCACCATCATCATGATCACCACCATCACCATCATCATCACCGTTATCACTATCATCATCATCATGATCACCATCACCCTCATCATCACCATTATCACCATTATCATTCATCACCATCATCATCACCATGATCACCACCATCACCATCACCATCATCACCATCATTGCCACTATTACCATGATCACCATCATAACCATTATCACCATCATCATTCATCACCTTGATCACCATTACACCATCACCATATCACCATCAATATCACCATTATCACCATTGTCACCATCATCACCATTATCACCACCACCATCATCATCACCATTATCACCATTACACCATTATCACCATCATCATCACCATCATCATCATTCATCACCATCATCATCACCATTATTACCATCAAAATCACCATCATCATTCATCACCATCATCACCATCACTATAATCCCCCTCATCATTACCATATCGCCATCAATATCACCATTATCACCATCATCGTCATCACCATTGCTCATACCCCCTCCCCCCAGGCAGGTGCCCGGAAGAGCTATTCCCTGTGGTGCCTCAGTGCCCTGCTCATCAAGATGTCAGGCAGCTCATCTTACTGCCCCGTGCTTCCCCAAAGTCAGGAGTGAGCAGTTCAGGGTGGGCCGGGGGAGAGAGTCCCCTTGCCCCCAGGCTGCCTCTCCTGCTTCAGCTGCTCTTTATGTGCTGGCTGTGGCAGGAAAATCTGCCCCAAAGTGAGAGACAATGGCCCTGCATCGCCACTTGGGCATACTCAGCCCCCCTTTCGTACACCCCCAAGCCTGCCTGCAGCTGCCTCCTCCTCTTTCAGGCCCAGCCTCTAATGAGAACAAAGCTGGATTTTAATAATCGCCTCAGCCATCTGCTCAGACACAACTGTGAGGCCTTGCTCACCAGCACCCCTCTCTTCCCAGGGTGACCCAAATCTGGGGGCAGCTCAGCCCTCCGTGTGCCCCTCTCCCCCACTTCCCCCTCTCCCAGCCTCCGATGGGGCCCACCAAAGCCCAGCCTGGGGAGCAACAGGAACAAGAAGCTTCCAGCAGAGGCCTCATTGTTTCAGGGATCAGAGGAGCTTGAAGCAGAGGGGCCAAAAGTTTGTGCAGATGCCCGGAAGGGGGAGCTGAGGGTGGCTGTGGCAGCTACTGAGCTGTCTCCCAGAGCACAGCTGGGACCCACCCCTGGGCTCCAGGGTGCCCCTTTTAAGCCAGCGTGTCCCATGGTGCTCCCCCAGGCTGAGCCAGCTCCCCCAGGCGGGTTGATCTGGGACCGGTGAATCAGTGAGTGTGGGAAACACTGGGTTAAATAACCGACTGCACTCTGCACAGATGGGCTTCTTCCAGCCTTTAAAATGCTAATGGGCTTCATGAATGGGGCGAAGAAGGGGAGGGAGCGGAGAGCATAGGAAATATTTCCCCAATTCCTCTGATCACAGAAACCTCTCTTGCCCACCACCCCCACCACATCCCACCTCCTCCAGGGGCTCTGGCCATCAGAACACACACTTTTAGGAAAGGCAGTTCCGTGCCAACCCTCTATTCTTTCTGGGGTAACGTCTGGTCTCCTCAGCCTCCCAGATTCCCCCGCAGCTGAGAGGCAGCTGAGATGGGGGACAGAGGCTGCGGGGCGGCAACAGGGCATCGAATGGGTGAGATCACCATAAATTCTGGCCCTACGCTGGTGCAGAGAGCAGAGCCAGGGGATCGCTCCTGACCCCCCTGGCTCCCTGCCCCCATCCAGGCCGGGTCCAGGGATGCTCCCAAGCCAGGCCATGGGACTTCCTGGTCAGCCTCCCCAGCTGTAGAACCTAGAGTCTGGTTCTTCCAGATGGTGTGGTGTTAAAAGTGGGCTTTGTGCCCCGGCCAGTTTGGTTCTGCGGACCAGAGTCCCAGGTTCGGTTCCCGCTAGGGGCACGTACCACAAAAAAAAAAAAAAAAAAAGTGGGCTTTGGAGCCAGACTGCTGGGCTCCATCCCCAGCTCTGACACCTACTTACTGAGTGATCTTGGGCAAATTACTTTACTTGTCTGTGCCTTGGTTTCCCGCATGGTAAATGCACTCTGGGCTCACCCAGCATGGGGAACAGCACCCTCAATCAGGTAGAACTACGTTTAATCCCCAACTTTTACTTCCTTGCCAGCTGTGGAATGTTGAGCAAACCACTCCACTGGGCTGAGCCTTGGTTTCCTCTTGGGAAGAGGATTCAAGGAGGTGACCCTGGTGGTGCACTTGGTCTGGGCCTGGCACCTTTTCACTGCTCAGCAAAGGGCAGTCTCCTTCCCCTGGGCCTCCACTGTAGCTGGCCATCTGCGGCCAGGCCCGGCCTGGGTGCCCGGGGTAACATCCCCACCTGGCTCCCTCCCGTGTGGGTCCAGCCCTCCCCCGGGAGACTCTGAGCAGACTGAGGGGCTCAGCAGCAGGTCCAGGGAGGTCACTCCGGCCAGCTCAGCCCGAAGGAGGAGGAATACGTCTACCTCCTTGCCAGGGGCTCTGAGCAGAGAGCCCCTCCAGGGCCTCCCAAGCCTGCAGGGTTGAGCCCTAGATAGAGCGAGAAGCCTGGACTGGGTGAGTCCCTTCTGCACCTGGCTGCGTGTCCTCAGCACGTCGGGATGGTGAGCCCTGCCGGGGCGGCTGTGACACTGGGGGCCAGGAGCACACTGACCCTTCTCTGGAGAAGCCACAGGCAAGCAGGCCTTTTCCCAGAAGGTGGGAGGGTGAGCTGGCGCGAACCCTTCCCAGCCTCTCCCACCTTCCCTCCTGATGGGGTCTCAGCCACCGGAGGTGACCACGTACAGGGAGACCCCAGTGCCCACTGGGCTGGGGGGCACCCATGAGAGGAGGCACCCCGGCTGTGCTCCCACTGTGTCCACCCTGCCGGGCCCGAGCTGAGCCGGGCACATAAGCACCTATAAACAGCTTCATAGCCACACTATTGGTGATGGTAACAGCCCCTGTCTCTGAAGGAGGACTCGCCAGGTTCCAGGTCTGTGCCTTCCCTACACCGGCTCACTCCTACCTCAGCAGAGGCCCAAAGGAAAGGAGGGAGGGACATGTCTGGAGCCTCTGCCCCTGCCCATGACCTTGGGCAGCCTCTGCCCCTGCTGGTCCCAGTTCCCCAGCCTGCGAGACAGGGAGCCGAGTGGGCCTGGTCGCAGCTCCTTTCCCTTAGGAGCTTCTTGGGGTCTGCGGTCTCTGGGGGTGGGGGAATGCCTCACCCAGCCGCTCCACTGTGCTCCCCAACACCCAGCCCCTTCCAGCCCTGAATCTGGCTCAGCAGGTCAGAGCTGTACCGAGGCTTCGATACCGGGGGAGCCCACCGCTCCCTGGAGGAAGGTCTGCTTACCCCCCTTTTACAGATGTGCCCATGGAGGCCTGTGTGCGAGGCCGGTGTGGGGACAGAGAGACCTGCTCCTAGGACAGGGCCCCTTCCGTGTTCTCATCATGGCTGCTCACCCACGGGGCAGAGAGGCACGTCTAGATGGCGGAGGGCAGCCCTGTGGCGGGGAGGGGTCCTGGAGCATGGCAGGGGCAGGCCCATGTGGTGGTCCTGAGAGAGGAGGTGGGGGGGGGTCTGCATCTCTGCACCTCAGCTCCCACCCCCTCCTCCACGGCTACCTGATGGGGCAAGAGGGGGAGGGGAAGACAGGAAACCACAGGGGCTGGCACAGGTCTCACTTCCTGCCTCACCCCCGAAAAGGGGAAGGTCCCACAGCCTCCTCCCAAGTTGGGGTGGGGGCTGGGCAGGATGGCAGGCAGCTCGTTAGGGTGGATGGACTGCTCCCTCCATGCCCCTGCCACACACTTGCACTCACTCAGCATTCAGTCAGGGAGGAGGGAGAGGCTGTGGTCAGTGTCGGAGAAGAAGAAAGGCAGAGTCACGGTCCAGCAAGGATCACGCTCAGGAAACAAACACCAGGGGCTAAGAAGAAATTCTGTGCTACTTTCTTGAGATTCAGAGAGCCCAAGCAACTTCCTGAAGGTCACACAGCCGATCAATAACGGGGCCAGGAATCAAGCCCCGGTGATCTTAACCCAGAGCTCATCTAGAAGGAGAGAGCTTCTGGCGACATCCCTGGGGACCCTGGATTCTAAGATTCAAGGACGTCAAAGCTCATCAACGATGAAGGAGACAGGACCTGAAGACCGCTGGCCAAGTCACAGAGGGAGTGACCTTGTGGTGGAACAAGGAAGGTCTGGGCTCCATGGTCCCCAGGAGGCAGGTCTCAGGAGGAGGAGGAGAGGCCCCTCCGGAAGACTGGGAAGTGTCATCACCAGGGGCCCACACCCCACCCCACCCCAGCCAGGTACCTTGGCGCCCAGGCGCAGCTGGTCGATGGTGTTCTCAGCCTCAGCATACTTGGTGAGGAGCTTGTGGTAGTCCTCCTGCAGGGGAGAGACGGCAGACGGTCACGCACCCAGGCTCCGCGCCGTGAGGCCCCTCACCAGGAACCCTCCTCCAAAAGGGGCTTCTGGGATTTCTCAATGTGAAAAAGCTCAGTGTTGGGATCTGAGAGCCCCTTTCAGGCTCACGTGTAAGGCAAACCCCCATGGCCAAATTCCGGGGTGTCAGAGGCAGCAAGACAACTCAGCCACAGCCCTTCCTCTGTCCCCACAGTGAGTCGGAGGGCCCTGGGCTGCTTCACCTTGACGCCTGACACGACCCCGTCACAGGATGGCAGCTACTCAGGTCCAGCCTCCCTGCCTGTCCGTGGGCTCAGGGCGAGGCCCCCATCTGTCTTCCCCGGCCCCCGCTCGCCCCTGAAGCAGTATGTGCTCAATACGTGTATTTAATGGCTGAATGAATGGTCAAGGGTCCCCTCGGGAGGAAAACAGAGAACTTGAAAATGACAGCTGCATCGACTCAGAGTCACTACTTGCCTTAAACAAAACGGAAGAGCTTCATGAAAACACGTCACTCGTGGGGGTGGGGGTGGGGGAGCAAAAACAAAAACAAATGTCACCAGTCCCCTTGAAGGGTGCCAGGGAAGGGACGTGCTGTTCTGAAAACTGGCCATTAGGACAGAAGCAAGCGTGTCTCCAGTCTTTCCCATGTGAACAAGGCCATGGGAACCAGTCGATGAGGGGAAGTTTTAATTGATCAGAAATGTCCATCAAATACATGCAGACGGAAAGATATGAGGCTACTGCCATGTGTCACCCCAAGCGGAGGCCCGGTCAAGGCGATGGCCATCAGGAGCGCCCACCTCGCAGCCGAGAGGACAGCAGCATCCCCTGAGCAGACCACCCGCGATGTGCTCTTGCCTAAACTCTCCCTGTGTGGTGCTCATGGTCTGGAGGGGGCGGGGAACAGGGGCTGCAACCCGAAAAAGCCTCTAGCTCTAAATGGACAATACGCAGGACAACAGGACAGAGGAAGAGACATCGTGGGGTGTCAGCGGGTCCCGACTGTGGGAGACTCTACGGGACAGAACTGGTTTCCTAACAAAGAAGTTACAAGGAGGAAAGAAATCTGGAAAACAAGAAAGAAAGGAAAGGACAAGAAAGAGAAAAAAAAAGGGAGGGGTGAGAAGCTTGAAAGACAAGACGAGCTGTCTGGACCCTAACGGGAAGCCACTGAAACATACATGCCACTTATGAGACACACTGAGAGATCAGAACCCTGACCGGACAGTGGATAATATTAAGGGACTGGTGTTACCTTTTAGGCATGATGATGGTATTGTGGTTAGGTTTAAGGTAGAATCCTTATCTTTCAATGTCCACACTAAAATATTTTTGAATAAAATGATCTGATGCCTGACATTTGCTTCAAAACTACCCAGTAGGGTGAGTGGGGAAATAGATGAGAATGGTTGCCAGGGGCTGGGTGATGGGTAGAGGGTGCAAGCTGGGTGATGGGGATGAGGGCTGATCTCCATCATTTTCTCTCTTGTATATGTTTCCAGTTTTTTCACAGCAGAAGTTAAAACAAACAGGGACTACCCTTGCAGCATGAGGGCAGTCACTGCTCCTCCTGAGCTAAGGGCTTGGGATGCTCCTCACGGCTCAGGTACAACACTCTCTCCAGCAGCAGGAGGCTCCCGCCCAACCCGAGGCACCCCATCCCCACTGCCCTCCGACCCTCCCAGCCGGGCAGCAGGTGCCTTGGCGACATGCCCATAAAAATGCGTCTGGCTTACCTGGAGCTGATGGACCAGCTTGGTGGCTTGTTCGGGTGTCTGAAATTCTTGGGGTACCCTGGTGACGGGGTGGGAAGGGGGTGGATCCTTTCCCAAGCAGGCTTCTTCATTGCTCAGCAGCACCTCCCGTACGATCTCGGCAGGTGACTTGTAGATCAGTGGTCTGACAGGGTCCTGAGGCTGCTTGCTGCGGCTCCTGGCCTTGGGGGGGCGGTAAGTCTCATCTTTGGGGAACCTCACCCGGGGTCCCACCTTGGAGAAATCAGGCAGCGGGTAGTTCAGCCGCCCCCGGCCGTACTTGGGGGCCTCAGAAGATGAGTGACCAGCCACAGCGGCTCCCTGCCTGGGCGGCCTGTCCGGCCGGGCTGGCCTAGGCGGAGGACTCGGGGGGCTGAGGGCGCCAGTGAATCGCGAAGGGAGCGCCTTAGGTGATGTCCGTGTCCGCTTCCAGGCTCGGTGCCCCAGCGGAGAGCAGGAGACACTGGGCGTTTCTCTCCTCCATCTATCTGCAGGGCACTGGAGGCTCTGGGCTGGGGGCACTGAGGAGTCCTGGAATTCTGCAGGCGTTGCCAGAGCAACGCTTCCTCCAGTCGGGTCATCTGGACTTAGGAGGCGGCGGCCGGGGCTCTGTGGTAAAGTCTCTGCGGGGGCAGCAGGCTGGGGGGCCTCAGTCTCTCCTTCCCAGGTGGAATCAAGGCTGTCACTAGGGTGGTCGAGGCTCACAGTCCCACTGCTCCAGGACCTCGCAGAGCTGAGGTCAACAGTTGGGTTGACCTCAGAATGTTCTGGAAGTTTGTCTCCATTGGTTTGTTTATCAGAGGCCACCCAGCCTGTGGTCTGACCCCATCCCAGAGCCATGGGGCTGGTGCTTCCATGGTCCTTGGAACAGAGACCAGTCTCATACCCCAACCCAGAGGGGCTCTTTCCAGCTTCCTCGGCCTCGTCCTCTCCGAGGGCCTCGTCTGGCTCCTCATCAGTCATGTCCGGTTGAGGGTCCTGCTGGGGGAGCCAGCTGGGCGACAAGCTGGAACTTTCTGGGCTGTCCACATCCTCTGCTTCAAACTCTGGAAAGACAGGTCATTTCCTACACGCCGGGTCTGGACTCACCGTGGAGTGTTACCTGTCATTCCGCCCCTGGGGCTTTCATTTCCTCCTCATGCGGCGACGGCAGGGCTCCCTGGAAGCCCCACCCACACGGCCAAGAGCACACCTGGCCCCCTCCAGCTGTCTGAAAGGTCCCCCACACTCAGAGCCAGTTACCATCCCAGTGCTTCCTGTCTCCGCTAACGGCAACACCATCCCATGCAGCTGCACAAGCCAGAGACCTGGGAGGCATCTTTGTCATGTTGCCCTCCTCAGCCCCACCACGATCCTGTCTGTCACCATCACCTCCTGCGCAGCTGTCAAACTCACCCACTCCTCTGCCATCCAGCACCTCCACCTCTGCCTCAGACAGCCCTTCTCACCCGGAGCACAGCAGTGGCCACCTAATGGTCTCCTCAGTCCTTACCCTCACCCCTCATCTGCAGACTCATCAGTACCTGCTCAGGACAGAGTTGAACCTTTAATAGGGTCCTGAGGTCCCTGCCTCTGGCCGCCATTAGCTCTCCTGGTCTATCTCCCTCTCTCCAGGGTTCCCCTCAGGCTATTGCTGCTCTAGTCAAGCTACATCCTCTCCCACCACAGGGCCTCTGCACATGATGGTCCCTCTGCCAGGGTCCTCTTTCCCTCCCTTGGCCTAGTTAACTCCTATCTGTCCTTCAGGCATTAGCTCAACCTTGACCTCACCAAGGACGTCTTCTCACATCTCCCTAACTAGGTCAAATTCCCCCTTAATAAGTTTCCACAAGACTGAATACCTTTACTTTGAAACACAGCTGCAGTTTTCCACTAATTTATGTGATTGTATCATTAATATCTTCCCTCACTACACTGTGAGTCCCATGAGTAGGAGGATACCCTGTGTTTATTCACTATTGTATTTGCAGAGTAGGTGCTCAGTACTTGTTGATTGAATAGAAAGAAGGAAAGGGAGGGAGGGAGGGAGGACAATAAGTTATGCAAAGCTCCCAGAAAATGCACAGTTGTAATTATTACATAGTAGGTGCTCAAGAAATATCCATGTATCCATTCACCCACCCATCACCCATTCACCCATCTATCCATCTACCTATCCATCCACTCACCCATCCATTACCTACCCACCCATTCATCCATTCATCTATGCATCATCCATGCAGTTGGTGTTTATTGAGCACCTACTCTGTTCTAGATCCTATGTAAGCCTTTGGGATAGAGCCAATGCTTCATGAGACACAGTCTGTATACTGCCAGGTGTAGACTCTGCTCTGGGCAGATGGACCTTTGACATAAACCTTGTATCATTCTCTGCTCCCCTATGCTCCTTCCCTACCCTTGGAATCTCTACATCCTTCAACTCCTTACAACCTCCTTCAGCAAGTTCCCTTTGTGTACAGCAGCGCACGTGAAGTTCAGAGAGCTTCAGCAAAGATCATACAGTGGTTCACAGCAGGCCTGGACCTAAAACCCAGGTCCCAGCCAGGCAGGCAAGTCAGTTCCTGCCACTGGGGTTCATGCAGTGAGATGAAGAGAGTGGGCTTTGGAGCCAGGGAGCCTGGGTTCGATCCTGGCCCCGCTGATCCTTCACAGGGCGCCATGGGCAAATAGCTGACCTCTCTGGCAGTCGTTACTCTGACTAGAAGCTAGTCCCTCCTACCTGGAGGGAAGGAGACAAGTCCCTGGCCTGTGCCTAGCCCTGCACTGGCCACACAGTAAGGGTACAGGACATGGCAGCAGCTGTTACATCATAGCAGGGGGTTACCATGTGACCTCAGGAAGAGATGCCTCTGCCCTTTCTTCCCAGTGCATCCCAGTCACCATCCCCTGAGGCAGAGCTCAAAGATGGCTCCTGAGGGCATGGCTTTGGGCAGATCCGGCATGAGGAACTTTGGTCATGGCACACAAAAATCCACTACCAGCCTAATGGCTCCTCCGCCATCCACAGGGACCTGCCTGATTCACAGAATCCTAAGACAGGGGTGTTTCATTCACACTCTAAGTTCAGTAGACACCAAGCTCTTACTGTTCCCAATGGCGTTATTACCGCCATTTCACAGATGGGGAAACCAAGATTCATTAATTTATTTTTTTTACTTTTTTTTTTGGTACGTGCCCCTAGCAGGAACCAAACCTGGGACTCTCTGGTCCACAGGCCCATGTTCCAACTGCTGAGCTAAACCGGCCAGGGCAGAAAAAACAAGATTTAGAGAGGTGAAGGGACTTGCCAAGCCAGACTAGGAAGTTGATCTAAGTTGGTCTCAACACGAAGGGAACTGTTATTTTAGGAAACAAGGAATACCCAGATTCCCACTGCTAAATGGGATTTTACAAAGTCTTAAAAATGGGCATAACCCCTGGACCGGGCAATTTCAATGACCAAGGTTATTGTCAAATCAAGTGTGCCAAGATGTGCTAATGACATCCATCTCTGCGCTATAGTAGCAAAAACTAGAAACTACCTAAATGCCCAGCAGTAAGAGATTGGACAGCTCCGAATGTCCAGGCCATGAAATTCCTAGTCAGCCGTTAGGAATGACGTGTGGGAAAATATCTGATGAGCTGGAAAAATGCTCATGTCTATTAAGTTACAAAAAGCAGGTTGCCATCCAGCTTGTAAGATACTGTTGCACAGTCACATTGCATTTGGATAAATACATATGGAAAAGAGCTGTCTGAATAGGTCATGATTAGTTTTTCTTCTTTTTGTTTATATTTTCTGATTTTTCTGCAATAAACAGTATTATTTAAGTTATTTAAATCGTTAAACATTTTAAATTATAGACTTCAGAGATTTTGATTAAAATTTTTTCTAAAACTCCCTCCCACTCCCCGCCTCCCGCCAGAAGGCAGGATGTTTGGGGGACACCGGTGTGAGGCTGGGGGAGTCAGGCTCACCTTCTGCAGACCCTCCGGATTCGGAACCCTGGTGCCCCTCAGGCTGCGACTCCGAGTGCCACTCCAGAGGCTGCCGGAGCTGCTGGGCCAGGCAGAAGTCCTGGAGGAGCTCGGGGCTGCTGGCGTTGGGAAAGGGCCCCTCCTCTCCCCAGCTGTGTGGGCCATGCCTAATGGCCGCCTTTTCCTCCTCAGCCCAGGCCCAGCGCCGCCGCTGGGGCACCTTCCCCAGGCCTGGCTCGGCCCAGCGGACCTCTGTCCCCGAGCTGGCCATTGGGCCTGGTCTGCAGTTCACCTGGGCCACTTCATCTTCAGGACACGCAGCTGCCACTACGGGCATCAGAGTCACCGCCAGCTCCTCTCAGCACCAGCCATCCTGCCTGCGGCCTGTCAGGACACAACAGAGGGACAGCATTAATCCCCGAGTCCCCTCCTTTCTGCAGAACAAGCAGTGACCAGCAGGAACTCTGGAATCATACAGCCCTGGTTCAGCTCCTGACTCCATCCCCTTGAAGCTGTGTGACCCTGGGCAAGTCACCTGCTTTCATTTTCTTCACGTGAAACCGGGACAATAATTCCCATCTCCCTCCAGAGTCGTGTAAACTTGCCTGAGATACAGGATAAGGGGCCCAGTGGCCAGCACACTGGCAGCTGTGGGGTGTGTGCCAGCGACTGGTAGCAGGCGCCGGGCACAGGCCAGAGCCTGGGGGTCGGGGGGGCAGGGGTCAAGTGCAGGCCTAGGAAGTCAGGGAAGGTCCCGTTTAGAAGCCACTTCCTCTGGGAACCTTCCTTGACCCACCTCTGGTAAGAATCCAAATCGGGAAAAGAACATTCTAGTACCCGAAATAATTGAAAACAGGTCCTCAAACGAAGACAAGCTCATGCTCTTCCATGCAGCACCGCTCACTGGAGCCCAATGGTGGAAGCAACCCAAACGTCCATCAGCGACGGCTATAAACAATTTGTGATGTGAACAGACAAGGTTACATTAAGCAGCCATAAAAAAGAATGAAGTGCGGATGCGTGTTGCAAGAGGATGAACCTGAACTCCGCTGAAGGAAAGAAGCCAGACAGAAAGGTCACACCGTGTGATCGCAGCGATACGGACTGTCCAGAATAGGTAAATGCACTAGTCTGGAGAGAGAAGGCAGGTCGGGTTAGCAGGGCCTGGGGACAGGGGACTGGGGAGCGACTGCTTCATGGGCACAGGTTTCTTTTGGGAGTGCTGAAGTGTTCTGGACTAGACAGATGTGGTGATGGCCCAACACTGTGAAGATGCCACAAGCCACTGACTTGTTCCCTTTAAAATGGTTAATTTTATGTTATGTGAGTAACACCTCAATTTCTTTTTAAATCCTCACCCGAGGATATTTTTCTATTTATCTTCAGATAGAGTGAGAGGAAGGGAGAGAGAGAAACATTGACGTGAGAGAGACACATTGACTGGTTGCCTCCTGCATGACCCCAACCAGAACCGCAACCGAGGTACATGCCCTTGACCGGAACTGAACCCGAGACTCATTGGTTGGTGGGCCAATGCTCTAACCACTGAGTCAAACCGGCCAGGGCTCACCTCAATGTTTAAAAAAGCATTCCAGCCCTGGCCAGTTTAGCTCAGCAGTTGGAGCATCGGCCTGTGGACCAGCAGAGTGTGGGCAGAGAGGTGGTGGCCAGAGCCAGGAGGGCTTCTCAGGTCCTATTCAGGCCTCTGAAGGCCTCCCAGACCCGAGACAGCACATCAAGGTGTGGAGGTGTGGCTCAGATGTTCCTCTCTGCTCAGGGAGAAGGGACCCAAGAGGGGAGCCTGGCTGCAGAGGGACCCGTGGCAGCGGAAAGAGGGCTCCTGCCCCCCTGCCTCTATTCTCTCCTCCTCCTCTCCCTCTCATCTCCTCTGGCCCCCTTCGTCCCCTGCCCTCCTGCTGTGGCCACCATGCCCCAGGTGCCTCCTCTGTGCCAAGCACCACAGAGTCCAGGAAACAGAGCGGACAGAGCCGCAGGCATGGTGCCATGCACGGGGCAGGGCAGGGCCTCCAGGCTTTGCTCTACCCGGGCAAACTGGGCCCTGGAGAGCAGAGGGCCTTGCTGGAAGCCACACATCAGCCAGGACAAGACTGGGGTGAAAGGTCACCTTGTGCCCCAGGTCAGGGCTCCTCCCTCCACGCAGTGGAGACAACGGGAGTATAAATAGCTTCAGGCCTCCCAGTACAAACAGGTCTGTGTTTGTCCCTGCAGCCTCGTGAGCACTTGGGTCTTGGTCAGAGTCTGATCTGTACAGTTGAGAAAAGTCACAGGCAACTATTTCTGGATAGAAAGCTCCCCAGGGAGCATGCAGCCCCAGAAAGGCTGCAGCCTGCTGCAGGGCCGGGGTAGGGACAGGGCATAACGTTCTCTCCTCTGGCTGCAACCCCTGCTCCTCAGACATGGGTTCAGGGGCTTCAACCTTCCTCTCTCCCCCTGGAGGTCCTCCAGATCACCCTGTGAGGGTCCCCATGATCCCACTCCATATGCTGTACCTTCTCTTGCCAGCCTGGGCCAGAAGCTTTACCTGTATGTTCTCAAACAGGTGAGTGGGTCACAGGAAAACTATTTTTCAGATAAGAAAACTGAAGCTCGACATGGAAGAGTGACTTTAAATATTTTAAAGGAATATTCTAATCCTTTTTCCCATACCCTCGGGGGGGGGGGGGGGGGGCCTATAACCCTGCCATTGGGCCTTAAACTTGAGTGCTCTGAAGAATTCTCCAAGAATGCAGACTCCTAGGTTGACCCAAAGAGAGTAGAACTTGGTGGCCCTGGAGTAGGGCCCAGAAGTCTGCATTTTAACCCCACGCCCCAGACAAGGCCAGCCCTTCAGGCTGACTACACCTTCCCGCTGCTGCTACTACGGCACAGGTGACAGGTGCTAAGAGCGGTTGCTTTCCTATTTCTGCAACATTTGCCCAGGGAAGGGGCTGGGGAGACATGTGGTTTTTTGACTTTTTAACAGGTTTTTTCTAGCCCTGCCACAGAGCAGCCTGGCCAATCACAGAGGCCTCTGGGGCACGAAGAGGAACATCCTGTCTCCAGGGATGACTCAGTCGGCTCAGAAATCTCACTGTGACCAGCGCAGGCCGCACGGAGGCAGCTGCGGTCACTGGCTGGGGTTCTGCGCAGGCGCCCAGGCCCTGAAGGCTGTGAGCCTCTCCTGCGCAGGCCCCTGTCTTCCACGCAAGTCCAGCCCTCGGTGCCACGGAGCTCAGGACCGGCCCGTCGGCTGGTCAATCGACAACACACAGGAGCGCCAACCACACGCCAACCCCGGGCTGGACGAGGACACAGGCTCCTGGGCTGCTAGAGAGAAGCGGGCCGGGCGGCAGGGACCAGGTTGCGGGCCCAGTGGCCGCTGCACGGAGAACCGCTGGGCTGGGCTCCCTCACTGTCAGCGGGAGGAAACGCCACCTGTCCTTGCGACGGCCAGGCAGTAGCGCCCTGGGAGGGCGGGCTGGGGGGTGCCTGAATGAACTTTGGGGTTCCTGGATGTGTCACTGACTTCTGAGGGCAACAGGCTCAGGACTACTGACTCCCTTCTGGAATCCATTTCACTGTAGCAAAGATACACAACAAACTAACTAACTCTTAAAATAACCTATGGCTCCTAGATCCCCTACCGTGTGCCAAGCGCTACCCAAGATACAGGAATACAGAAGTGAGCAGAAGCGTTGCAAAATTTCAAATGAGCCCTGGTCGGTTTGGCTCAGGCCTGCAGACTGAAGGGTCGCAGGTTTGATTCCCAGTCAAGGCCATGTACCTGGGTTGTGGGTTTGATCCCAGGCCCTGGTTGGGGAGGTGCAAGAGGCAACAATCTATGTATCTCTCTCACATTGATGTTTCTCTCTCTCTCTCTCCCTCCCTCCCTTCCACTCTATCTAAAAAATTCAATGGAAAAATATCCTCGAGTGAGGATTAACAACAACAAAATTTCAAATGGAGATGGGTGTGGGGAGAGGGGAGACAATGCAGAAGATTTATTGAAGCAGCATTAAGTTGACAAAGAGGATTTGCGGGGAGGAGAGGGAGGGCCATTCCAGGCAGAAGGAACAGCACAGGTAAAGGCACGGAGGTCTGAAAGTGTGTACAGAACATGACGGACAGCTATGGGCAAGGACCCTGGCATGGCAGCCAGAGGCAGGGTCGTTCCGGTCAGCCTCCATGAAGGCACAGGGCTGCTCCCAAAGGGCAGGGGCTGTGTGAGGCTCCAGCCGTGTGAGCTGGGGGTGGAATCCAGGAAAGCCCCATTAGCATGAACCCTCAAGGGCTGGGCTACAGGGCTCTGGGTCCCTGCCAGCCCCAGAGAAACTAGCCCCACAAGAAAGCACCAGTCACTCCCCCTCCTTCTGTGCATCTCCCCTCTCCGCTGCCCCGCCTCTGCCCCTGTTCTCTCCAGCGTCTACGGGACCCTGTGGTCTCTCTCCAGGTCCTGAAGGGGCCAGCCATCCCCACTCGGTGGCTTCTCTGCCTCCTCAGCCTCCCCCAAAGTGAGGACTCTTCCTTTCATGTCTTCCTCTCCCTGGTTCTCTCTGCCAGGGCAGCCGCACAGCCCGTCCCCCTCCCCATGCCTTCTGAAGCCCCTTCCCATCCAGCCAGGGCTGGCCAGGGTGCCGCCCCAGCTCCCACCCTGAACTTGACATCACCCAGAGGGGCGGCAGCTCTCCGCAGACCTCGCAGCCAGGAAGTGTGGCCTGGGGATTCACACCCAGGGCCTGAGACTCGGAAGCCAAGTCCACCACACTTGGGGGGTGGGGGACAAGAGGAAGGGGAAAGAAGACCTCCTATATCAAGGGGCTAGGCTCCTCCAAAAAGGCTGGGCTGTTGGGGTCAGAACCCCAATCTTGACCTCCCTCTCCGACCAGCGGGCCGGTGGGGAAACACCAGCCACTCCCCACTCCGGATGTACCCCTCCAGCCCCAGCTCTCTGCAGCAGCAGCAGAGCCCTGGAGAACGGGTGAAGACGCCCTAGCTGCTGCAGACTAGTCCCACCAGCCCGGGGAGCTGGGCTGGGTCTCCTGGACCATCCTTGGCTCCTCTCCGCGCCCTGACATGGCAGAAGGGGCCACTGTTTCGTGGGGACCCTCTGTTGCCTCCTGGCCTGCTCCTCACTCATGCATCATGTCTGGGGCCCCTTAGCAGCCGGGGGACAAACTCTCCATGGGCAGATGGGGGCACTCCACGCGCGGAAGGAATCAGCGCTTGTCCAAGTTCACAGAGATCAGAATCAGAGCTTGGACTGGAATCCAGCATCCTGAGACTGGAGGAAATCCCCCTAAAATCCACCCTTGCCTGGGGGGCCGGGCTCCCCTCAGCCGGGAGAGAAGTCATACAGCTGTCGCAGCAGCTGCAACTTCCTGGCTGGGCTGGTCCAGCCTCCCCGGACTGTCCCGGAGGCTGTGACTGGCCTGTCCAGAGGGAAGGCAGCCTCCCCTGCCCTCCTCCGCTCCCTTACCTCTCTCGGGTTTCACCATCCCGCTGGCCCAGGCTCAGAGGACCTGCGTGTGAGGTCTTTGTTCCAAACCTGGGGAGCCCCCTGCCTCCACGGCGCCCTGGCCCGCCTCCAGGCCGCTCTGCCAGCCCGAGCTGCTGCTCACAGACAAGCATCTCTCCCCACCTCTCCCCGCCCCGCTGCGGCTGAGGCCGCCTCGCCTCGCCTAGGCAGGAAGCGCCCAGCCTGATTTCCTACAAGTGTTTGTCAGAAGGAGGGGGTTTGTCTGAGTGCAGAGTGAGAGAGCAGGAGGAACTTAACCCCTTGCAGGCCCTCTGCGGGTCTGTCTGCCCAGGAAAAGGACTCACGGAAACTTCTGACGCCAGGGCTTGGGACCATCACAGTCAAACTATAGACTGGAGAGACTGAAGCCCAGAGAAGGTCAGCAAAGTGGCCAAGGTCACTCAACATGCAGACCTGGAAGGAGGCCTCCAGCCGCTTCTACACTCTAGGAACTTTCTCCATCGCTCCTACCCCAGCGTGTGGCCTTGGCCAAGGCTCCCTCTGTCACTAGGCCTCAATGCCCATCTATCTAATGAAAGCTCAGGCTGGACACTTGCTTGGCATCCTTCCAGCTCTGATTCTCCATCCTGTCTGCCAATATGCAACCAAACAGCTCAGCGAGGCTGCAATGATTCCTGCCATCCCGCCCACTGTTCTTGCCCCAAGCAGGGCCTACAGCTGTAGTGGGATTTTCCAGGCATCATGAAGGTAGGGAACAGCCTGATCAGGTGAATCTCCCCTGCTGTTCCCAGGGCTCATCGGAGGGCAATCGACCTTTCCCCAAGTCCCCCTCCTTCCATTCATTCATTTGACAGTTACTTACAGAGCATATCTTGTGTTCCGGGTGCTTTTCAAGGTGCTGGGAATATGGCAGGGCACAAGACAGGCCACGTGCTGGCTCCACTCTAGTAGAGACACAGACAACACAGACAACACACACGCAGAGAGGTGTGAACCAGACGGAGAGGGTAGGATGGAGCAGTGATCCACACCCCTGGCTGCTTTGGGTAATACTGATGCCTACAGCTCACCCAGGTCGACAGAATCAGTCCGGGGCATCAGAAATCTCAAAGTGTCTCAGGTGACTGGAATGTGTGCCCTTGCAGAGAACCCAGGGTCAGAGAGCAATGGGTCGGGGAGAAGGCCATGGGGAGGGCAGAAAAGTCTCTGAGAATGTGACCTGTGACCAAGGGAAGGGAGGGAAGAAAGGGGCAGGAGCAAGCCACAAGGGCAGTGGGTGAGGGGCGAGCCAGCTGGGCGCTCCCTGAGAACGGCAGGCCGCACACCCAGAACAGACAGAACCCAGGGGTGCGAGGCAGGAGCCAAGGTGGAGGGGCAGGCTCAGCACCCAGTCCCCACGTGTGTGTGGCTCCAACTCTGGCTCTGCTCAGCATCCAGGGATTCTGATTCAGAAAACAAAAAGAAAAGAGAAAAAATGTGGTCTCTGTATCGTCCAAAGGACCCTGCAGGTCATGCTGACGATGGGAACCAGCAGCGTGGAGAGAAAAGTGAATCTCAGTCGTGCAGACCTGGGTCCCGTCTCTGCCTAGCTCTGTGGCCTGTGAGCCTTCTCCTCTCCAAGCCTCCGTTTCTTCCCCTGAAACGAGGATGAGAGGAGCGGCCCCCCCACAGGGCTGCTGCCAGATCTAATGAGGTAATGTCTGCGAAGTGCGGAGCCAGGGGTCTAGAACATGAATGAGAAGACGGATGAATGAATGAATGAATGATCGAATGAATGACCTTTTTCAAGATCAGCCTGTGAGCATCTGGCAAAGCCAGGCTAGAACCAGGTGCCCTCATCCCAGTTATCACCCCACCCCCTCCCCTTCCCTGCCTTTTACCCACATCTGGGTGATGGCTCTACCCGCAGCCCCAGCCTATGGAGGACAGCCAAACCCTAATGAGGCCCCTCCCTGCCAGCTCTGGTGACCATGTGGGCCACTGTGCGAGGGGCGGGCTCCCTGTCACCCTGTCACTCACTCATTCTCCCTCCCTGGTCATTAACCAGGCAGCACTGCATTCAAGGCCAGGTGGCGGCCACTGCCAGGCACGCCCCATGGCCCCTGGGTGACCCTAGCCCATCTCAGGGGCAGCGTCTAACACCAAGGAAAACAGCCTCCCGTGTACTCTGTTCCATCTCCTTGCCACTTCCAAGCCTTTGCCAACCCTCCTCCCTGCCTCTACCCATGCGGTGCCCGCTCCTGGAACATACTCTCCGTCCCCAGGCCAAATTCTACTCAACCAAAGCAGCGTGTCCAATCCGGAGCTCATTATACCCCATCCCTCCCCAGTTTGGCCCATTTTCACGAGGGCACGAGTCAGCACCGACCGCCATCCTGGACACGTCCCTCTCCCGCACACCCACGACCAATCTCTCATCCACTCCTGTCGCCTGGATTTCCTAGCCCAAAACACAACCTCTCCCGTCTCCGCCTCCCCACGTGGCCTCCTGCGCCTGGAGGGCCCCTGGTCCCCGCAACCCGGTCCCCATCTCATCCCAAACAGAAACATCCAAACTCGGCCTCTGTGCTTAAAACCCTCGGAGAAAGAAGCTGCCCGCGGCTCGGAGAAAGAGGAAACTCCACAGCCTGGCTGCTGCACCTGCCTCTTCTCCCTCTTCTCCCTCCCTCGGCCGCTCCGCCACACAGGCTCCCCGGGGACACGCACTGTGCTCTGCCATCACCAACCTCACTTCTCCCCGTTACCACGCAGGCGACCTGTGGACCTCAGCCCGTGTGCCCTCCTCGGGGACTCTCCATCCGGACTCGGAAGTCACTCTGTCTCTGACAGTGAGGGCTCTGGGACGCGCTCACCATCACAGCCTCAGGGCCCAGCAGGAGACGCTCAGGGATTTGTGACGGATGAGCCACCAAGTCTAGCCAGTGGCCCAAGCCTGGCTTGTCACCTTCCCAACAACCCACTGAGGCAGGTGTGACTTCCTTGTTTTACAAGTGGGCAAACAGAGGCCCAGAGAGTCAGGCCGCTTGCCCACTGTCACAAAGCTGGGGCGTGCCGGTACAGACACACACTGAGACCCAGCTCTTCGTGAGGCCACGTGGTCCCCACACTGCTGCAGCCTCTGCAGACAAGGAACAACCTGGACACGATAACACCGGGGGTGGAGCTTATTACCGACCGATTGCAATCCGCCGAGCCCACGTTCTGACTTGAGAATGAGGTTCCCTCTCCGCACAGAGCCTGTTTCATCCTTCATAACACTAGATGCTGAAGACTAGCCTCGGGAAGAGGGCAAGGCAGGAGTCTGAGTCCATTGTACAGGGCAGGAAACTGAGGCCCAGAGATGGAGAAGAGATTAGTTCCTGGCCACCCAACAAAGCCAAAAACATAAAGGAAAAAACGCTTTGGCCCCACTGCCGGGGCTTGAGGACCTTCACGAGAGGCCTGCCACGTCCGGCTGCGTCTGCACAGCCCTACCAGTCCTGACCACAGGAGCCTGGCAAACCCTGGCCTTTGTCCCTCTGGCCCCTGGGTCATGATGCTTACACCACAGCAGCCATTTCTCAGCCACTCTCTGCCACAGCCACCCACACGCCATATCCTCACCCCCTCATTCTTTTGTTGTTGTTTTTTAATTTTCTGATTTTTAGACAGAGTGGAAGGGGGAAGGGGGAGAGAGAGAGAGAGAGAGAAACATCGATGTGAGAGAGACACATCAACTGGTTGCCTCCCACACAACTCCGATGGGGGTTGGAGATTGAACCTGCAACCCAAGTACATGCCCTTGACCGGGAATCGAACCTCAGGTTGACACTCTAACCTCTGAGCCAAACCGGCCAGGGCCCTCAACCATTCTTGAGCCCTACCTGTGGTCCTTTAAGCCTTCTGGCACAGCCCAGGACACAGCCCTGGACCGGGATGGGAATGACTTGCTGATGTGATGAGCCCTGGCCAGTCAGTCACTCCATCACATGATGTCCTGAGGCCCAGGGGTACAGGGCTGGCAATTTCAGCCGCCCTGGGAGCTGAAGGTTGTGTGATTTCATCCTCGACTCCTCCTTGAGCTCTCAACATCTCCAACTTTCCTGAGAAAGAAATGAAAACCCACTCTAAGCTCACCCGTTCCTTTCTGCCCAGGTTGCTGAATTCAGCCCTGTAGTTAAAATCCACAGGGAGTCTGGCGCTGAGGGGAGGCAGGTGAGGGTTCTGGGGTGAACCAGAAGAATACATGGCAGCCTGGTTTGGAAAGCAGAGACCCAAGCCCCAGCCTGAGTGACACTGGACAAGTGCCTTCCCCTCTCTTAGCTTTGGACCTCGGGCTTAATGAGATTGTCCCTGAGATGATCAGAAGTGGCCTCCCAGCACTAAATCTCCTGGGTTCTTTGACTGCACTTGCCCACCTAGGCAGAAATGCCATGTCTATGGGAGGCTGTAGGGCACAGGGGTTTAGGACAAATGGGCTTTCTGGGTAGACAGAGACTCCCAGGTTCTCTCTTGAAAGCTGTGTGGCCTTAGGCAAATTGCTTAACCTCTCTGAGCCCAGATTTCTTATCTATAAAGTGAGGATAATACTGACTTGATAGCATCCTTAGGATGATAAATGAGACCATGTGCCCAAAGTCCTGGCCCAGGGCCCAGCTGGCACAGAGCTCACACATAAATGACTTTGGCCATATCTGTGAAACACCCAGATGGCCCTCTCTCTGCAGGACTGAGTTTAATTTTCCTGGCTCTGAAGCTTCCCCAGTATCAGCCACAGCTCTAGTTTTGGGTCCTATACACAAAGAGGAGAGCCCTCCCGGGTGGAGAGAAATGCTGCCATCCCCCCATGACCCTCTCCCTGTGGCCCCAGACCAGGGGTCACTGACGCAGCTAGAAACTGTGTCCTTACCCTGAATACTTAAGAAAAGGAGGAAACAGCCCTGGCTGGTTTGGCTCAGCGATTGGAGCGTCAGCCTGCGGTCCCAAGAGAACCTGGTTTGGTTCCCTCTAAGGGATGTACCTCAGTTGCAGTTTGTCCCCGGCCCTGGTTGGGTCGTGTGGGTGGCAGCCACTCGATGTGTCCCTTTCACGTCGATGTTTCTCTCTCTCTCTCTCTCCTTCCCACTCTATCTGCACAAAATATCAAAAAATGTCCTT